GCCATGTGTTGGCGCACTCACCACACGCGCCGCCCTCTCCTGTGACTCACACTTCCGACAGAACCATGGGCCAGTGGGCACCTGGACAATGCCGTAACATGCTGGGAACACACACACACACAGGGAAAAGATTATGGATTTCTTGTCACACTGTCATCAGCAGTTTCCCATCACATAAAAATATAACATACGGGCTCATATCTGTATGTCTCATCCACATGTGAATCTTTATCATTTTCTAATGTAAGGCATTTACACATCTCTCTCATGTTGTTGTCCTGTGCTGCTGTCTTCCTGATCAGCTGGCTAAAAAAATCATCCACTTGGGACTTTGAAAAAGAACCTATGGAGCCAGCTCTCAGTTCAGCCTGCTCTGACAGCTTCTAACAAATATTTCTTCATCCAATTTTACATCACTTTCACTTATAGGGACCACAATTATTTCAGAAATGTACCCTCCTTAGAGATGAGAGCACGGCATAAATCTACACCTGACTCCGAGTGGCTCCAGTCCGAAGGCAGGTTTCCACTCTGAAGTGTCAACACCTAAGTTAACTGCTCCCATTTCTAGTCACTCTAAAGCAACAAAGCGAGCGGACACAAGGTAAGACAGTGTCCGAACAGGACGGACCCGCCGGGCTGTTCCGGCTCAGTAAGTCGTGAAACAGTCCGCGCGCGCACCTGAGGTGCCATCAAGACGCCAGTCAGCCTCGGCGTCACCCTGCTTGGCCCTGTGCGTGTAATCATGTGCCGAGAGGAAACAACAAACAGCACGCCTACCTCAGCCCCTCCCACACACATCAATACACACAAACACGCACGTAGACACCAAGAGACCTACCTAGAAACCTGCCGGCCTACCAGCAGCTCTGGCTGCCTCCAGCCACCGGCTCAGCTGCCCGGTAATTACAGGCTAACGGCGGCTAATGTTACCTTGGTGAACGGCGACGCTACAGCCGTGTCCATCACAGTACACCAGAGGATTCTCAGCCCAGCCTCGCTCGTCCGAACACACGCAGCAACCTCCGACCATTTCCCGCATGCTGCTCCCATAAGAAGAAATGTCTTTCCTCTCCCAGCAACGGCTCAGACCTCGCCCAGGCCTGTCAAGTGGTTGTCCCGCACGTTAACGCCGCACCGGGCATAGTCGTAAGGCGCTTTCGTCGTGCGGTTTTAGCGCAGCGAAGACACGAAATCTCGGCGTGGGGTTTGTGGTGTTGCTTCTACGTTTTTTCCGTGATGTCCTCCCCGTCCCCATAGAACCGATGCAGTGCGCATGCGCAGACCAGCTCCTCTGGGTCGCAATAAGTCACAGCAAAGGTAGCAAGTTGCTGTTCTTCTAACGTGAATCGCTTTTTCACCGTAGGTTTTCAGACTCTTGCATCGGTTTCAATGTGTGTACATCGCTGTGAGAAATTATGCCTTCAGGCCCCTATTCATTCTAACATTTTATAAAGTGGATTAGCAGAACGTAGATCAATGAGGCAAAACCGCTGGATGCAACATTACCATTAATATTGTTATAACAGCGCCATCTTCGGGATTTCCGCAGAACAGCAAGGCAAGAATTACAAGATATTTCACCATCCAGTGCCCTGACCTGAAAGCAAAAACATCCACAGTGAATGATACACTATTATCTACTGCTTTGTTGTTTCATTTTACTTAATTGTAATTTGTTTTCAATTATTTGTGAAAATTGTCTTCATTTCTCTCTATCTCTCTAATTTAAGACTAACCGCGTTTTAGTTGCAGCCAAAACAATAAACAGTAAACAGATGTGAAAGTCAAATTCCAGTTTGTTCTGCTGACCCATACAATTATCTACTGCTGGTTCCATGGCTCAGACTTTATTAGATCGTTTTGTTCCTCTCAGTGTCAGTGTGTAGTGTGATACTGTATGTTCTAATTAAAATACATAGATACATGGATTTCATTTAGATTTTTGTCTGTCCAATTGACTCCTATAATTCAGCCAGTAGATGTCACCAGAAGCATTTTTTGACTTGTATTGTTATTGCTGTATGACTCCTTTCTCGACTGGCTGAGTAAACCCTGTCTGGCAGGCTGATTTTATGAGGTAAATGGGACTCCACACACACACACACACACACACACACACACACACACACACACACACACACACGTACATGCATGCACAGACTTTGGACACAACCAGGGATTTTCAAGATGCAAGTCCCATTGCTGTTTCCCAAATGTTTATGTTCAGAGGTGATGTGTCAGGAAAAACATCCGTCTGTCTTTATGCATTTGTTATCCTCCTACAGTACCACCGGCTACTGAGTGCAAACACTCAGTCTGACTCAACAGACTACCCAGAAGACATATACTCTGAAGTGAGTGTCTTATAATTGGAAAAAGAGAAGCAGTGCGGTTGTTCTTTTGAAATGGATGACTGGGCTGTTTAATGTGACATATGGACCTGAAGTTGTAATGACAGTTTGCCTCACAAGTGTCACTTCTCTTCAAACCTAAAGAGAGAAAAGGGAACTGGCACTGATGGAGCGGACAGATAGCGCAGTGGCAGCTGGATGAAGCTAACACTCCTTTCTGGTCTGAAGGCAGAAAAGCGTGACCAAGTCCTTGCACTGACATGTGAGTGAAGTGCATCCACATACACACACAGCCTTTTTATTGGCTACTCAGAGCCCACGTATTCACCAAAACTTCCCCCATGCTCTCGGAACCGACAGATTAAGCTGTCACCAGAGGTTTGTCATTTTACAGATATTGAAAATTCCCACAAACCCTCAGTTTTATCTACTGTACAGTTTGCCTTCACGCAGATAAATTCTTTTATGTGGAGTTTTACTGGTAAACAAAATGTATTACTGTCCATTCTGAGGGCGAGATGAGGGCTAAGTGGGAAGGGTTAGACTATTGATTCAAATAATTTTTGTACAGTCCGAGCTTTCTTCTGGTTAAAGAAACAAGGATATGGACCTATTCTCTATTTTGCTTGCACCAATTTCTAGGACCCCAAGTGAGTTGATGAAGGCACCATGTGGCCCACTGAAATGACATTATGTAGAGCCATAATGTGCAAGGAAAACATTTAATTCGCTGTAATGCAGTACAACGCTTCCCCCAGCAGATGGGTGCTACTGTGATAGGACTTATGATCCATTGTACATTCCAAGAGCATATGGGGAAGAACAGTGAGATCTAAATGCCATGATGAAATTAGGAGATGATCCTACAATAAATGTCATTTGAAATGATCCCATCATTTGATCATTTTCAGAGCACATCAAAACTTAAAGACCACAGTGGAATAGGAGCTTAGTGCCTTTGTTACTGATTTAATGTAACATAACAGCTTTAACTGGCTGTCATATGAATCTTTAGGCATTCAGCAGCCTTTTTTATTTACTTTAGACCTACCTTGACTTTTATTTTTATCCCCATTACTGGTGTCTTTTTAAGATACTGTAGTTTTATTTTCCTATATATATATATATGTGTGGGTGTATATACCCTTATTTAGTGTGACAGAAATGTCTCTGTACAACTCTGAGCTGTTTCAAACTTGAGGGAGCACTAAATGAGTATAATATTTAGGAGTGAGAAACCAACATATAGGTGCAGAGTGAAGTGATGTCCTTTGAAGCCGTGAACTGCACGTCTCTCAAAACCACAGGCTTAAAAGAGACACGTGACCTTCTAGATAATAGGAATTTTTTTTGCAGTGTTGAATTGGCAAGTGCTTTACAGAGACAGTTCTCTCAACAACGTGCAGGTCTCTGTGTAATGGAAGAAAAAATGAGGTTCTTGTTTATTTTCAAGCTTTAACAAGGATAACATAAAAACCACAGTGGATACAATAGATGCACTTGTTTTTGGTAATGTGTTGAACATTTAAACAAATATGTGGCATAATGTTATATGATATAAACAACAGCTACAGCAGGGATCATTTTTAGGTATGTAAAGGAAGTAGAATTACTCCCGCATTAACACTTTACATGCCACCTTCTCAGATGAGTACAGTATGACTAAGAACATTCTGACACATCACACTTCTATAACGTCTTTCTCTCCCTCTCTCTCTCACTCACACACACACACACACACACACACACACACACAAGAGAGAGAGGGAGATAGACATGCTACTTCATCCTTATGTCTGATACTGCCAACTACTTATATGTGTAAATCTGTGTATGTGCTCAAACAGTGTTCTTTGTCTGACAATATGTCTGTGTATGTAAGCATGAACGTCAGCACGAATGAAAGCTACTTCAGTTCTAGGCGGTGCTCGCCACGGGCTATGTGGGAAGAGAACTCGTAGCAGTCCCGGCTGCGGTGGCCGCACACATTGCACTCCAGCGGGTCACGGAAACCATGGCATCCCATGTGGATGGTGAACATGACGTAGTCCAGGAAAATCACCCTGCAGTGGCCGCAGGGGTACACAGCCCCCGGCAGCACTCCGGCCTCCCCGTCGGCCCGCACCACTCGCAAAGCCTCCAGAGGAGACAAGGGGATGGGTTGGGCATGTGTGTGAGGTACACCATTCTGGTGGTTCAGCCCCCCCAGTAGATGCCCTAAGCTGTACATGACAGGTTGGGACATTTGGGAGCTGTCAGTGTGGAATGAGTCCATGCCGAGGGGTGGCTGGGCGGTGTGAGAGAGGCCCAGCAGTGGCATGCTCAACTTGTGGCCGTTGGTGAGGCCCATATGGCTGATGTCATTGTGGCTTAATGGGATGGGGTAGGGCCTGTGGGAGGGTGCCGGGTCACTGTCCTGGCCTGTGAGGACTGGTTGTTGCTGATGGTGGCCGTCTGACCCGGGGGAGCCTGGTGGTGGGTTCTTGACATCGGTTTGGTGGGCCAGCTCCCTGTTAAAGCTCAGGTCCAGGCAGACACCGTTGTCGCCTAGACCAGTGACGTGAGAAGAAAAAAGCATTCAAGATTCACCAGCAAGAGGCTTCACATACTGCAGCCAGCAGCATGGCTGGAGAAACAGCGAGGGGCAGTTAAAGCAGTTATTGCTTATAGATGATAAAAATGCAACGGAGATCCTTACAGCACTCTAAGGAGTCCTCACTGTGGTGTCACTTTAAAGCATGAGAGCATCCTGAACCAGCAGCCAAGCTTGGAGGCATGAAAGGACAGAGGGCTGAGAGGAAGCAGACAACGCAGACGAAGGCCTCTAGTGCAGCTGCACCACAGAAGTATAGACAGAGAAGCACCTGCTCACATTTCTCGCCTCCTGCCTGTTCTCTCTCTCTTTGTGGTTGCAGACACTACTTCTCTTTTCCCCCTGTGGTTGTCATATTGAAAGATCTCACTTCATTTGTCAACCTGATAGAGAAACATAGGAGGGTTTTTTACCAGTGCACCCTTGTTTTGCGAGCAGCTTGAGGCTTGATTGTGAAACTACAACCCAGTGTTATTTGGGCTTAACCAAAAGGGTGAGAGCCAACTACTGAAAATCGTTTTGTGTGTGCATGTGTGTGTGTGCGTACGCCCATAAAGTTTGGGAAATCGCTGTGCCAAGTCAGCCTTTTACTGAAAGTGATATTTGCTGTGGCAAATTATCTGAATTTGAATCAAAACTTACAAAGTGATTAATTCATCTGAGAAGTTCTGAGGGAACGTTTCTCTTTTTTCATGTATCAATTCTTTTAACCATGCAGGGTTACCGATACCCACCTATGACACAATTCTTGCAGAGAATTTAGGGCAGTGGACTCTGTGGTGTGTGCAGGTATGAGGCAGGTGTTCTGCCCTCAGTTCCTGTTTGGCAGGAGATGGAGGCCAGCAAGGACAAACAGACAGACAAACAAGTAGCTCAGACAGACAACTTGAATAATTTACAAAACGTGATTTCTGTGTTTTAAAGCAAAGATACCCGGCAAAAAAGCACGAATGAGCTGTGTATTTCAAAAAGACAGCAGCATATTATAAAGATAAAGATGCCAGTAAACAGGTGGGAATAATCAAAATAGAAATACTGAGTAGCAATTAAGCAGACATACCTGTATTAATGAAACTAAAAACTTCATATTTTTGTTCATATCTAAAGTAACTTTATAAGCTGCTTCAAAACTGCAGCATGACTCTCTGGTCTGGTCGAGGTCAGTGCCTCTGTGTGTCTGCTGTGAGTTTAGCTGCTCTTACCAGTGAACTTCTGTGGCATTGAACTCTTCCTTTTGGCTACGTTGCTGGCGAGCCTGTCCAGCAGCAGAGCACGCTCACTGCCCATCTGAGCCCTGGATGTGTGGCTGTCCTCTGCTTGACAGCAAATGAGTGAGAAAGTCAGTGCAAGAAGGAAATAAAGACCTTATCTTGATTGAGCAGTATGATGAGTAAAGAGTGAACAGAATGGCAACTGTCCATCTGCCAAAGCCTTTGAAGTTGCGATGTGAAACAAAAAAAATCTTACAAGTCAGCCCAGCTGCTTTAAGCAGAGACACGCTCAGAGGGAAAAGATATTAATTTGAGATCAGAAACTCCTTTGACCTCACTTCCTGGTGCTTTTTACTTCACCATTGCAGGAGAGGAGACCACAGGGTGAGGATGTACTTCCTCACCACTACGGCAATATCAGGCATAAACTTACGACATTAAGCGACCACAGAAGCAGAGCATTGTCTGTGTGTTGCAACTGTCCTGTCAGTATATAGGTGCATTTTTGGGGGTAGGTTAGACATAGTGTGTATTTTTGCATACGCATGTGGTGCATGGCTGGGCTGAAACATTTGCCCTACATAGTTGGCTTCCCCTTTGCCGCTACAGGCATGAGAGACGGTCTTCATAACACAGTGCATCCACACCACAGCAGCCATAACCTATTTAGCTGTAATGATGGAGTAACAGCAATAAGCTCATTCATTTGAAGGGGCCGATCTGTTAAAAAAAACATTTGTGCACCTGCTGCATATGTACAAATATGTTTATGTAGATGCTGCAGCGGTCCGATGACATTAACAGCCAACTGCATTTGTGCACTGGGTCTTTTTGGGTCCTCCAATGACATGCTGGAGTTTTGAAGATGTTCTTATATTTCATGTGAGTAAGTGTCAGAAAGCGGTTGTGAGATAAGGCTGAGTGTGTGCTCACCTCTCTCAGTGGGACCTTTACTCTGAATGTACACATGGCACCTCTCTCTGTGCTCTTCCAGAGAGCTTCGCTGCTTGTAGCTGCGACTGCAGTGGTTGCACTTGAAGGGCTTCTCTACTGCGAGCAGGAGTTTCAGTTAATCACAAACCTCAACAACATCTTAATGATACAGTGACTATTACTTCCTTAGACACATGGTTTCATACAAAACTGATGATGTGCACATTAGAGTCTGTGCTGTACGTCTGCAAGTAAAAACACGTGAACTGAAACTAAGTTTCCAGAGGTGAATGAGTAAGATGTCTGATGTAATTTGTGTAAATGTATGAGAATGCATGGCAGGGTGTTACTGGAAAAGTTGTGTCAGCTCAGCAGACTTCATGTGTTCAGATTCAAAAGGAATGAGAAACCAAGCAGCGTGGTACAGTACACAGGTGCGTACAGTATCAGTGCTTGTCAGATTGGCATGTGTATGGCTGGCTGGTACCAGAATGAGTACGCAGGTGTCCGCTCAGAGCATCACGTCGTCGGCAGGCATAGCTGCACATGGGGCATTTGAAAGGCTTCTCCCCGGAGTGCAGTTTGATGTGGCGAAGCAGGTTTCCCTTCTGGGTGAAGGAGGCCCCGCACTGAGTGCAGTGGAACGGCCTCTCGCCTGGGTGAAAAAAAAAAAACACACACACCATGAAAACAATCCTGCACATTTCACATTTTAGCATGGCATCTGGTTTTTATATCACAACATATTTTGATTGCACATGAAAGTTTGATTATTGTAAACTACATGTGGTTGCTGAGTTTGTTGAGCAAGACACTGACATGGTGTTCACAGCTTCACAAGTGTAAATTTTGTGATAGTGTTTTATATGATGACTTTAGTTGTACACCCTTTTCTTTTTCTTAGTATTACAATGAATTGCAAAAAATCATTCACCATCTTTGAAACCAGAACAAGACAACATCCACTTTGATTGTGAGAAACCTAGAAACAGCATCCTCACGAGCCAAACCACACCAACGCCAAACATATTGTGTACTAGACTTCCCATGCTGAAAACAGCCCCGCAAGTTTAACAGCCTACCACTCAACTCTACTCAGCAGTAAAAGATGAGAACACCTATTTTACTACTAAAACCAGTAACCACAGCTCGTCGTGTTGAATTTAGCATGACTGAGCCAGATGGTCCTTTAAAAAAAAAAAGCCAGTAATGCAGCCACACTGATGTGTATGCGATCGTGGTATGGTCACCTCTATGTCTTCATTTCATAGACCCTGCTTTGTTAGTTGCACAGTAGAATGATGGAAGGAATGAGATAGACGCATGATGAGAGCAATCCTCTTACGTAAAAGGTCCCTCATTTTCTTTGCAGAACTTGGTTTGACAGTTTTTGTGAATTTCGTTTTCTGTTGAAGTGTGACATCTGCAGATGTGGCCTACAACTTCTGCGTTTGAAATGACCAGTTCACACTGCTGAAGCCTCATATTAGCTACAGGTGAGCCTATATACCTTAAAGTACATTTCGATCTCATTTCCATCACTTTTACTGGAAGCAGGTTATGAGGTGAATTTTCCATGGCCAGTACGAGCTAAAGGATTGACTACAACATGCAAGACCACTTTTGCTGTTCATATGGTGCACCTTATTTTAAGACCGACTTAAAAAATTGTGAACCCTGTCCTCCAAAGAAGCAACAATAAACCACAATATCCCTGACTTGTGTGTTACTGTACTTAACAGTGAAAAGTATTACTACATGTGGATAGGCAGTAATCTGATGACAGAAAACGTGCATTTCATGTGTATGAGATGAACATTATTTTCCATACTGTTAATCTGCTCTAAGCACTTGATTTGAATACTTTAGTTAACCTCATATTAATAAGCAAGGTATTATTGCAGGAATTGCACAATTATGGGGCAACATAATGACTGTAGGAGTGCTATGATGTGCTGACTAATCTGTTAATGTGATCAAATGACAAACTCATTGCATGTTCTCTATATTTGAATAACAATAGCTCTTTCACAGCCTCTTGTTATTGCTGTAGCACCCCTTTTTTGGAAGTGCGTCATGTATAAGGCAGGCTTGCACATTGTGAACCGTAGTCACTCCATCAAACATCTTAACCTAATCAATACGAGGTGCTATCTCCTAACGTGATGATTGCACAACTCTCATGTTTGAGGTCAGGTTCTGAGGCTGCGTTCCTCTGCTCACCCGTGTGGCTGCGCTTGTGCACCAGCAGTACGTTGATGCTGACGCAGGACAGGCCACAGATGTCACAGCTGAGCTTGCCTGACGACTGGATGCGGGGGCCTGTGGCTCCAGGGGCGTAGGTTCCATCTGCCGCTGCTGCGTGGGCATCTGACAGAGCAACACTGTCGTAACGCGAGTAGTCGACCAGTGACAAGTCTTGTGGCTCGTTTAGGGCATCTCCCTCTTCATCCCCCTCCCCGTCCCTCTCCTCATCATCGCCCTCCTCTGTCCTCTCCTCATCAAATCCTTCCTCCATCCCATCCTCACTGGCCCCCTCTGCTTCCTCCTTGGGCACAATCTGTCTTTCTTTTTCAGCCTCGAGATACTGCTCGTTATCTTCCATCTCCTCTGCCTCAGTCTTTATCATACCTAAGCAGGGGAAGCACAGAATGTATGTGGAGCAACATTTCTTCTATACACATATAAGGTGTCTGTTATAAAAAAGCACGTATTTACTAAGGCAAGACAATAAGTCATGTAAAGCACATATACAACAATTGATGCTCTCACATGCAACTAAAGCAATAAATAACCTTGAGGAGGCTCCACTCCACCCAAAATGGGAAAGGCTGTCATAGCTTAACTTCTACATTTGTATTTATAGACGATAGCTTGATATTAGTACTAGCACTAGCACATCTCTAATGTGTGGGTATCTTAATTTGTGCAGATGCAGTGTTACAAAGACATTCAGAAGATGTGTGCTTGAGATAAAGGGAAGGCATTTCCTCTGCATACACAGAAACTAGAACCAGGGCAGGAGAGAGATGCAGCAGGTACCTCAGACACTCAACACCAATTCCTCATCTACTTTTAAAAACAGATTTCAGACTGATTATTTATCGCCTCCCTCACAGATACGGGAAACTCCCAAAAATAGAAAACTAAAATGTTTCCTTAATTTCCTCCATCAGCCAACAGATCACCAGTTCTAATTCATTTCAATGGCACACAATTTTTACGCATTTTGTCTTGGCCTTTTTGTCATTCTGTACCCACTGCAGGTCAGACCTGTGCACCATCCTTGATCTGCCCATGCATGCATTTTTCTCAACACACACATGCTTGGCTCTCAGGCCTGATTTGCAGGACCTCTCATGTAGCCTCTTGCTAAGTGTCAACCAGCCCCCAGCATATTCGGTTCCATCCAGAAACCACACTGTGGTCATGGCGGTGACTGGTGATGAGCTCAACAGCAGCGCCTTGCACTGTGGAAAGCACTGAGAGGTGCTATGGAAACTTCGTATGCACAGAGCTTCGAGAGGCTTGATATAGAGTCCAGGGTCTCAGAACAGTAAACCGCAGGCTGCACAGCAGACGCAGAGCAGGGCTTTAGGAAGTACACCCAGTGGGGCAGATGGGTGGCAGTCAGAAATAAATAGGAGAGCAGTCTGTAACATCATGTTCTTTTTTTTTATGTGACAAAGGCCACAAGGCTAGGCAAAAACATTTCCACACACAAGATGGCATGTGTGAAACAAAGTGGTCACAGTTTAGAGATGTGCAAAATCTTCCTGGTTGATGTGAGGTTGCACTAATGAGTTTGTATGAAGAAATGCTCTTTATATCGCACAATGTTAACACATCACATTAGAAAATCATAATATACAGTAAGTTTTATCACAGAATGCATGACACTGCAGTGAGTCGGTCGACCTGGAGCTCACTTTACGGCTCTTATTCCATCCAAATAGTGAAAGCTGATCCCATCAAAAATGAAGAATTCTTTTTCAAATTACTGTCATTTTCCTGAATGAAACATCAGGATGAGCACCGGAGCAGGAAACAAACAAAGGCACCTTTAACCGTACCTCAGGACAACTAGAGACCGTCATGACTTCAAGCACCTGTTCATCATATACACACCCTTTCTAGTTAACATATTTAAGTGCTGCTGAAAAAAACATTGCATGCAGTTTATTTTTTATGTATATAAAACCTAAAACCTTTCCAACAACCACAGAAAAGCACAGTGGTCACTCTAAAAATAAGACCTTTATCTTAGTTCCTTTCTCAACAGCAGCATTCCTATGCGTTAGCTCTCAGGCTCTGTAGCAGCGCCCTGCACCCTCTGTTTGTAGTCTTTGGGCAAAAAACTCATTGTGCTGTGCGAAGGGGTGTGAGTGTGATGGCTAAACTGCAAAGCACAGTGGAAAGCTGTCAAAAGTGTCAAGCATATGTATGTGTGGGTACAGGTATGTGGCTCCGTCACACCTTCGGTACACTGCATTCCATTGTCACTGAATGATTTGTCCTCTCTCTCTTCTTCCTCCTCTTGTGACTTCACATCTGCAACATCACTGCAAACAGCTGAAAAAGTGACAGATTGTGCATATGTAAATAGTGTGTTACTTTTTGTTTTATTAAGGTGATTTCACAGTTTGTTGTTAAAATAATAGAATATTAAAATGCCTCTCTGAACAACTAATGTGCAAGAATGTTTCTTCATCTTGTTGTTGCTGAGACGCTGACAATTTGGTCTCTCTGCAGCCTGTTATCAACTATAGCCTGCACAAATTTCTCCGCAAATACACCTTCAGCTTTCAGTACTCTACAGTCATGTGCGCTCAGGCCGAATGGTGGCAGCTGTGGAGAAATATGTACAGCCTGATCATTAAAAGTCAAGAAATCAGATACTCACCCATCCCGTCTCCCTCTGAGGAGGTAAATTCAGGATGCTTGTCTGTGTTCATGATGGGAAAAAGGTTCTGTGGAAAGGAATTATGATATTCAGTAAAGGAGAGGGAGTATGAAATGAATACGTCTAACCAGGTCAAGCCAGATTCCTTCTTATAGCACCTTCTCAAAACCAGATCTGTTACAATTTCTTTACGAAGCAGTAAAGAAAGAGAACATTTAGCATTTTAGTGCTACTGAAAAGGCAGGCTTGTTGCAAACATTGATGATGTGACATTTTGTTTAACTGTTTAACACAGTGTGAGTAAAAACTGTTTGTAATGTTCTTGACGCTATTAAAAGCCCCCTTTACTATTTGTACAAAGCATGTGAAGAAATAGAAGCGACACTTGCATCTCACTGTTCCTGTTGGCTGGACAGCACAAAAAGAAGTTACCAAAAAAAAAAAAGGTGGGTAAAAGCCCACGGTTGATTGCTCGACCCTGTCACTACATTTAGCCTTATGAGAAAGAGATGATGTTCACTGAACATGTATTTCCTGCTGGGGTCTGTATATAGGAGCATGTGTAAAAAAGCTTTCCACTCTAACAACCAGTGAGACTCCAATACGTGTAGGTACGCTTTAAAAATGAATTAGGAGATAAAATATATAGCTGTGCACTCTTCGAAAGCTGCTTTACTAAGCCATGTATTAGTTTTTATAGAGCTGATTCACCAACACACTTAAAATATAAAATACAAGTTTAACTGTAATAAAAAGTAAAAAAAAACTGTATAGTTAATTAGAAAAGACTCCATCATTTAGAAAGTTGTAACTACTCTTACAGTATATGACAAAAGAGAGCAATAACAAACTTTCTCACATGGTCTAAATGAAACAGAGAAGCAGATATCTACACGTGACAGTTAATTCCAAGATACTGGTTTTTGGTTTCATGTTTTGTTGGAAGTTAACATTATGTTTGAGTAATGATGACAAGAGCTTACCTGCTTTTTTTTGCTCAGCACTCGGAGGAGAACAGATCTGGCAGTAGGAGATTCCACACTCCACCACTGGACTTTCTCTGAATATGGAATATACGCAACATCACTGCGGTGATCTTTGGAGAGATTTCCTTAAAGGAACAGGAACTCATTTTGAACAAGGTGGAGCAACAAAGACCAAACACTGCTCACACAGCGGACTACGTCAGACTGCTCCTTACCATGTTCATGATCATAACATAAACTTTCTTTCACTAAACCTACACATGTACAGTTTATAGCACTAAATGTTTATGAGTGAAAACAAAAACTGGCCATAATTATGACAGTCTGATATCAGTTCAGGCAGCCCACATGGTTCCTGACCTGTTTCCATCTAAGGTGCTATTACTCCATCTTGTGGCTAAATGATAAAGTTATGTTTCATTCCAACTTTACCCTCCCCACTTAGTAAAATACCAAATTGTTAGCACTTGCACTTAGACACTTTGATAACACTTTGCATTAGTTGTGTGGGTGGGTTGCATTTCAGATTTTCTGATGACATCCATCTGTCTTTCCCATTGAATTTGACTGCATTTCCTGTATGTTGCTCTGGTCATAAGCATTTGCCAAATGAGTGTGACATAATGATGCAAGGTACAAAAAGTGTTTTTGCTACTTGATTTGAAACTTTAGGCATTCATTTTAAGAAGCATTTAATTAATGACCTCAGGAAGTCACTATAAAAAAAACTGCAAAATAACATCGCACTAGTTGAGCATTTAAGTAATGGATGGGGCGGCACAGTGGTGCAGTGGTTAGTGCTGTCGCCTCACAGCAAGAAGGTTCCAAGTTCAAACAGGAGTCTTTCTGTGTTGGAGTGCACATGTTCTCTCTGTGCATGCATAGGTTTTCTCTGGGTACTCCAGCTTCCTCCCAGAGGCACAGGTTTTGTTGACTGGTGACTCTAAATTCCTAGTAGGTGAGAATGTAAGTGGTTGCCTGTCTCTGTGTGTCAGCCCTGTGATAGATCTGTTCAGGATCTACCCTGCCTCTCACCCGGTGTCAGCTGGGATCTGCTCCAAACTCCCTGCAGGTCTCTATACAGGTGTAACTAGTGGATGGATAGATGAGTACTGGATGATGGGATGTCCTGGTGGCTTAGGGGTTAAAAGATTGGCCCACACTTTGTTAGTCTGCCTTGAAATAATAGTAAGGGGACTGTCTATTACAATTTAGCAAGGAAACACTGTTCTGGAAATGCTGTATACAATACAAGACTGTTCACAGGACTCTCATCACACAAGGTAAATGTTTAAAATGGGTTTCATTGATACAGATACCTGCTCACAATACACTCTGGATTGCGCTGATGATTACTTTCATGCTACTTGGACCTGTCAACCCGTTTACTCCCTCTGGATAGCGGTGACAGAGAAACTCTCCATCATCTTGAGCTGTAGAATCCCCCCATCCCCGTCACTCTGCCTGCTCGGTAATGTCACAGAAGTCGACCACCTACCAATTAAATATAAAAACCCACTTCTGATCTCTCTATTGCCAAGAAAACAATTTTTCTAAACTGGAAATCTAAAAAATTCATTACACATCAACCACTGGACCAACCTTCATATCATACTAGAGAATATATCATCCATCCACAAGAATAATATACCAACCTTCACTGACACTTGGAATCCATTTCTAATTTTTTTTAACTTAAACCAGACACCTGAGGCCGAGGCCACACACATTCCCTCAAACTCCTAGAAATATAACAAGCTGCTTTTTACTTCATTATGGTTACTGTCACTAGTCCTCATGGTCCATGGTTCTGTTTTGAGTGTCACACCTATCAAACCAAACTAACTGAGATTATTACCTACCCCCCATTTTTCTTTCTTCTGGGAAACACAGTAGGGGAATAAAGAGACATTTAAAGAGCTGCGTTTCACTGCCATTTAAAGAGCTGCAGTTCACACTGCTGAAGCCTCATATTAGCTACAGATGAGCCTATAAACCTTAAAGTAAATTTCCATCTCGTTTGGAAGCAGGTTATGAGGTGAATATTTCATGGCCAGTACGAGCTAGAGGATTGACTACAACACGCAAGACCAGTTTTGCTGTTCATATGGTGCACCTTATTTTAAGACTGACTTGAAAAACTGTGAGCCCTGTCCTCCAAAGAAGCAACAATAAACCACAACATCCCTGATTTGTGTCTGACCAGGGTCAATTTTACATTGCATTACCCATCTGTTTCTCCCTACATTTCCTGTCATCTCTGTACTTTAGCTATCTAATACAAGCATAAACTGCCCCTCAAAAATAATTTAAAAGCAATGCAACATTTCTACATACTCCCTTGTAGTTCTGTATTGGACAAAGATTTACAAGCTACAAAGACTGTGAAATATGAAGCTACAGACACTTAGTGCAGGCAATATCTACAAAAAAAAAGCATTTCCAACCACTGGTAATCTCTAAGTTACTAGCCTCTGTGACAGAATGCCACTCAAAACTCAGACACACAAATCCTAGCTCAATAAAATAAGTCTTCATGTTGTTTTGTGGAGCAGGCTTAAATGAATGTGTTTGGAGTGCTGTGTCAACATACAGTCAAGGCCATTAGTAACTCTGCACATTTCTCATCAGTGACGGTGTGGAGACGAATGAGGAATCTCGGCCCCGAACAACACTCACTGTAGCACCCACCTGAGTGGTGCATGGCCTTGAAAGGTTTGGCTGCCGCCCATGGCCCGCCTATGGCAACCAGCCATCAGCCAGAAGGAAAAAGCCAAAACAAAGCACACTCACAAAGGCATTATAATACATGCTGGGTTTCCATGGCAAAATGGAAGCAAAGAAACAGGAAAAAAATAGACTTTGACCAATAAAAGCCATGATTCAAAACCTTGAAGGCTGGGTGGAGGGCATGTCCGCGCACACAGCAAACAAACCTGCATGTTGATTTACAGACTTTCTCATGATCAGAAACACACGTGTGTAATAAACTCTTCTGGTTTGCGGTGTTGTTAAAAGGTATCCTACAATTCCACTGGTGGAAGGCTTGTTTAGGACTGGCGGGGGAAGGGCTGTGTGTGTGTGTGTGTGTGTGTGTGTGTGGGTGGGTGGGTTAAACTGTCCATTTGCCTTTTATAGCTGCCCACTCCAGTTAGTAGCAAGAGACAGAAAGAGAGATCTGGGGACAAACATAATGAAGGGTGGGGTGGGGGTGGGTATAGTTGAGGGGGAACAGCACAGATCTGACCACTGGTCAACACACTTGCATGCAAACACACACATAAACACACACTGAGACCCTGTTGAGGGAGCAGGCTTGAGGTTGTTTTGTTGTTTGAACAATGCTTCGGCCCTAGAGGCACATTCGTGTGCGTGTCGGGTACTTGGTGGAACAGCGCTGATGTGTTTCCAGTTTCTTACTATGAGCAAAGTGTTTTATCAAGTGACTTTACAAAATGCGAATCAATAAATCCGAGTGCCTATCACATGAAATAAGTCAGGCATGACTGAAGTGGATAATAATAGTTGGGTGGGGGAGAAAATGAAATGCATTTGGTGTTTGAACAAGTGATAGGACGATTTAGCTGCTCTTTCTGTCGGTGCACTCAGGACTGAGAAAGACCAAGCGAGAGAGAGTGTGTATTAACTTGTGTCTGAGTAGGAGAGCGCTAGAGAGAGAGACCGGGGGAGAGAGCTTAGCCTGGCTTTTCTCTGTGCCTTTCAGTTCCTCTCTCACTGTAGAAAGAGGCGTGTCCATGGACTAGTATAAAGTCCAAGGAGAGCCACTCATGTTGAGCCATTCTCAGGAGTAACTCCTTTGCACTGCACACACGCAAGAAGAGGAAACTGCAGCTGTTACTTAAAACACTGCCTTTTGATGACCTGCTTTGCATTTGGACACTTGTAGACCAGATTTTTTTTGGCAAAGGTTCGGTGAGCCTCTGGACTCAACCTCGAAGACAGGGCAAGACTCACCTGAAGGTGGATATCCTTCCTGCAACTGTTCATTCTAACATAACAAAAACTAGTTCTTATCACCACTACGTTCTCCAGCCGAAGCAGATCAAGAGCAGGCTCCAATTTCTGCACTGTGAAATTGAATCAGAGGGACGGAGAGGCAATACAGCAGAGACATTGTGTCCCTGCAATTGAAACACTAACCAGCTGAAAATATCAAAGACCATCCTGGACAAAGCGCTGCTCTCAAACCTCCCTTCTTTGTATAAAATTTGTTGTTGAAGTAGAAAGTGATCAAAAGCCGCACAGCACTCAGAGAGGAGAGGGAGGCTAAGGACACCATACACAAGGGAAAAGGATTGTGTCAGGTGCCAGGGCTGCCATGGTGCGTGGAGGTAGTGTGGCAGTAGCTCCATCCTGCTGGGGCCTGTTTGGTGTCCTGCTGCTGGTGGTGCTGTGCTTGTCAGACCAGGCCATTCGCTGCCCGGTGTGCTCTGAGGAGAGGCTGGCCAGCTGCCGTCTGCCGGAAGACTGCGAAGAGACGGTGCGAGAGCCTGGCTGCGGCTGGTGCCCCCCCTGTGCCCTGTCTAAAGGGGCGCACTGTGGCGTCTATTCGCCCCGATGTGGCACGGGGCTCCGCTGCTATCCACCACGTGGCGTGGAGAAGCCACTGCACTTGCTGATGCATGGCCAGGGGGTGTGCATCGATGAGAGGGAGGTGGAGGAGAACTCAGGTGAGAGCAAGGGCTCAGAGTCAGTGTGTGAACTAATGACAAATCCACTTGTTTACAGTGGGCACATCTTCTTCCTTTAAGTTACTGTCTGTTACAAATACACTCAGAAAACCAAAGCATTTACAGCACGTGATTATTTACACCGCATTTGGTATCTCTGCAAATGTCTATGACAAGATGCTCTTACTGTATAAAGTTGTGACAGTTGTCAGCCACAGCTAACAAGGTCTGTCCAGACCTGGACTGGTGTCTTTCGCTCTGCTGACCCACAGCCAGGCACACCACAGTATCTGGACCTTACCTAGGCAGGGTCAGACTTGGGGGTGGTGGGTGACAATGTGCTGGTTGCTTACCCTAGTCTTGGCTAAGCCCTGAGTCAGAGTGTGCACACACAAGTTCCTCACACATGGCCTGATGGGAGAATGCATACAGTCCCTCTGTTGTCTTGTGGCCGGCTGTCCTGAAAGGGGCCCTGCTATAAGACCCAGAGCAGGCTTCAGAGAGGTGAGTGGAGGAGGTGTAGTCTCAGCTGGAGTCGGCATGTGTGTATGTGAGTGTGTGAGAGGAGCTTACGCTATTGGTGTGTACTGTATGGGCCTGCACTCTGTATGACTGTGTGGTGTACAAGTGAGACCACACCTGTTTGGTCATGCATTTAGTTAATGCAGCCAGTGACACTAAAAAATTGTTTTCCCAGCATTCCTTGGGTGTGCAATTACCTCATCATGCCTATGTTAAACTGAGACCCTGCAGGTAGTCATGAAATGCAGGCAGTAAAATGCATTGTGGTGGTACTAGGAATGTGAGTGTGTGTGCCAAAGTGTGTTTGTAATGGGAGGAGGTAATAAAAGCTGCTGTATGAAATGACTGTAATGGAGTGTGGCCAGTCAGGGGCTATTAGAGCTCTCTGCAATCAGTAATTCACTTGATGCTCTTTCATGGATGCCCCCATTCCTCCTCCTCCTCCTCCTTCTGCTGCTGCTGCAGAAGTCTAACTCTTCTGCTGTCAATGTCTCTATCACGCTCTCCATATTCTCCTCTTTGATGTTGCACTCCTCTTGAAGGGCAGAAATCCTGTCTCCACTTGGGAGATGGGGTGTCTAATGCTGGATGTGTTGCGTGCATATCCAGTTCCTGTTCAAGCTTTGATGTTAACTTCTTTCTGGTGATGAAACAGTTTGTATTCGTCTGTTTTCCAACTGGGGAGTGATGCTGATTTACTATGCTGTATGAGAATTTGTATTAAGAGTGTCACAGACAAGCTGGTTCTGTCATTTGTTCCATGTTATCTACTAATAGTTTTTCCACTGAGCCCAGCCTCCCTGACATTTACTGGTAGTGGCAGGAGACTACATGTAAGAACACCAGAACACGAAAATTTGAATCAACTTAGTCAATATAAAACTCCCAAGATGCTCATCTTCACTGCAGCATCTGTTCCTCTTGGCCTTGGGTGGACCCCCCACCCCCAAACCCTAACAAGTCTTTGAGCACATCGCCCACCGCGTCCAGCTCCTTCATGGGAATGAGCTCATCGGCTCACTCGCTGCCAGAGCTGAAATGAGAGCCTTCTGCGCTCTGTGCAGGCCCAGCATAGGTTAGGCCGGCACATAGCGTGACTAAATGGAATCAGAAAGAAGAAGAAAGTTGTTTACAGCATGATAAAAATGAAGGGCTGTCTCAGCTTGATCCAGCTCTGTCCATCCACACCATTTTATGTTGCAGAATGTTCTCCCTGAACACTACTTCTGCTTTTGGATGGTGTGCTGTCCGATTGGGTTGTCTCGAACTGGGATATAGTGCACTGTGGGAGTCACAGGTTTCCTTCCTCTTGGGCGGCACGGCCATAGACTGAAGATTTTGAAAAGTTCATGGGTTTGTTTTTGTTGCTCTGTAATGTGAGCTCTTGAGTTCTGTTTGCCTCCTCACTCCTTCTCACCCCTGAGGTCTGTCATAACAAAGCAGGAAGGTTCTAGCCAATAAATCTCACTGTAAATCAATTCCTCTGGGCAGCAGCTCAGACCCACTGTATAAGAATGCTCAGTGTAAACTGTGGCAGCGGGGAGACATTCAGAAAGGCACGAGGGAGAGGTGAAGAGCAACTCCAGTCACAAGCACGAGATTTCCTTTGCGGTGCATTCACCGTACTTATGCATTATTAAACAAGGCGGTGCATCTCCTGAATACATGTCTGACAGTTTTGCCCCACTCCTAGCAACAGTGAACATGCCAGATAAAAATAGAAGAGGGTTTTTAAAAACCAAGAGAATTCATAATGAAGAACCCTGGGATAGAGGCTGATCTTCAAGGCCCACTGAAAGAAATTTAGGGCATTCAGGCTAATAGCTCTAGCTGCATCCAACAACAAGATAATAGTTGAATCACAAAGATTTGTATTGCCTCACGATTGTCATTGTGTATCAACATCAAGGCTATGCTGGAACTGAATTTCCATAGCAACAACAAGCACTAGCCAACAGTGATGTCAAGGTCTACGTTAGCTAGAGTGCTTCGTAATATCCCAATCTTTGAAACCCTCTCTACCCTAATACTTAGAATAAATCACCATGTGTCTGTCGGCATCTATTTCAATGCTCCTGTCGAGTCTGCCCTGGTGCCATATCAAATGATTCCATCTAACAGGGACACCAGATATTATTTAGAAACTAACACAGCTTTTATACATGTAAACACCTGCAGGCACCAAAGGAGTTGCATGAATGGAGCTGGAGTGAGACTCTTTACAGCTATGCTCAATTTACGGTGACGCATAAGGGTCTTTATGAAAGCAGCATGCTACCCTACGGTAGAGCTTCCTTTCTCCTGGGAGCGAGCACTCAAGACATTCTGGAATTGTGAACAAGTGAAAGATGAGAATTCTTTTTCAAACATCTTTTGGCAGATGCCCCTAATGTGTATTTGCTTTCTTTGGGTTATGCAGTACATTTGTACAGCTGGGACGTGTATGCAGGAGTAAACGTGATTAGCTAATTGTTGTCCTCCCTGAAACACAGACCCCCTTCTAGTGCTCGAGCTGAGAGATACACAAAACAATCCAACACTGTCCTTGCCATGAAACACAGTAACTCTGAGGAGGACAATGAAACCTCAGGGGCTGGGATCATACATTAGACTGGGGTTTCAGTAAAAACACTGCAGCAATCTACATGTCAGTCAAGTAAATTTCTAGGCAGTGATCATTAATGATACTATTAGCTGTTCATTGAGAAGATAGATACTTTATTAGTTCACTCAGAATTAAGTTAATGATGTAACTCAAAAGAGTCTGACTTAATGCATTGCAGCTGCAGGTCTTCCTCTATTCAACACGTGCATCAACAGGAGATGCATGGCCAGCGTTACCCCAGCTCACTGTGACAGAGTGTACCCACACATCTTAAATGGTCTGGCCTATGGCGATATGTCCCGGAGGTTAAAGATGATGATGATACCTCAGTTCAGTATTGGATAAGTGACACAAATTCCTTTGCCCTGGAACATGTTTTTTATCTAGATGAAAAATGGGATGTCATCCTGAAGAAACTGACTCTCTGAGGAGGCAATGTGGGAGAAACCTTACACTGCACAAATGTTCCCAAAGCTTGTTTTATTTTTTGATTGATCCAAAAGATTTGTTAGGATAAAGGATCATGTTTTTCCTGATGATGATCCATCTGGAAGAGTTTCTGCTGTATCCTGTAGTCATGCTTTTGTCTCTGATCCACACCTGTGTGTGTGTGTGTGTGTGTGTGTGCAGGCTGAACTATTACATGACTTTTCAAAGCATTGTGCCAAGACACTGAAAGTTCACAGAAAATTCATGGTGGCTATAAAGTCTTCAGTTTCTGGGAGCCTTGTTCAACAGTGGCTTTATTTCAGCAACATATGCTTCTGAACAGAAAAATAGAAACTATAACGCCTGTAAAATGAAATAGGAGCATGTGAAATGTAATATTTAAAGTCGATGCATTTAATTACTTTTGGATTATGTTGTTCCTAATTATTTTGTAAAGGGTAAACCAGTAGGACAGTAAACCGCTGGTGCTCTGCTCCCACAAACTTGCAAACATGCTGAATATCTGGGTGCCTGCTTAGATTTCAGCTGAATGGGAAGTGGCCAGATCAGTGTCAGGCAGTGAAGCAGCAGGTTTCTTGTCTGTTGTTTTAACTTTCTATCATTTCTTTGACAAGCAAAACCAGAAAAAAATCCACCATTTTTGTTGGCCTTCATGTAGGTCTTGAACATTGTTCTTACAGCTCAGCTCTGATGATTAACTGGTTCATATAAATCTTGTGGCTGGAAACCAGTGGTTTGATAGTCTGCCAGCATCCAGGGTTTACTGAAAAAATTGTTTTTTGGTAGGAAGCCTAGTTGCACTCACTGCCAGAATCTCTTGGAAAACCACTATTAAACACTATCAAAGTGTTAAGAAAACATTTTAGAGAAGTAACCTCCCAGAGGAGTATTAATTTTTCAAGAGATTAGTCACTGTCAATATGATAAGATGTTCCATTTAGTGTCAAGATCCACAACACTACTTTCTTTTTGTGAAATTAATCTGCCACAAATTTACAAATATCTAAAAATCCAGAACAGAAATGACTCTGGCTAAGACATAGACCTCATTATTGGAAGCTCAGCAATGACACTCAATTACAGCTTAATAGTTGGAGAGGTCTAATGGAATACAGTATAAGATTAATTAAGTTTGACAATATACTGATAACTGTCATTCATCCATTATTTATACCACTTATTCCTAAATAGGGTCACAGGGGGGGGCTAGAGCCAATCCCAGTTGACACTGGGCGAGAGGTGGGGTCCACCCTGGACAGGTCACCAGTCTATCACAGGGCTGACATGTAGACAAACAACCACACACACTCACTCCTACTGACAATTTACAGTCTCCAGTCAACCTAAGCTACATGTCTTTGGACTGTGGGAGGAAACCGGAGTACCAAGAGAGAACCCACACAGACACAGGGAGAACGTGCAAACTCTGCACAGAAAGGCCCCTGGTCGGCCGGGACTCAAACCGGGAACTATCTTGTGGTGAGGCTGTGAACAGCGCTGCCCATTGATGCTATCATTAGTGTTAAAATCTTTCTTTTTTGTTTTTATATAAAACATACAGTATGACATAAAAAACCATTTGGGTAATTTAACACTAGACTGAAACGTGATGTTTTTCTGCCCTTTCTCCTTCAAAATGTTCAGTCTGTTGGGTCAGAAATATGTAGTGTTACACATAATCACACCAGCTGTACCTGTGACCACACCCAACAGTGATGTCACATTGTACTGACCTGCACCGAAGTACACATCTATATCACTGCAGCAAACGGAGAGGGGATTCCATTAGAGATCAGCAACATTTTCAGATGAGTTTAAGTTGCTCTTTTATAACGATTATTTTCATTGGTTTTTAATAGAACTGTGACCACACTTTGTACAGTTGAAAAATAAATTGACTAATGCTCGTATATATTTTGTGCAATTTCTTGTTACTTATCAGCCATAACATACAGATATATAATATCTGGTATAGGCTAATAGTGGCAGGTACATCTGTCAGTCTCTACATCCTGTAAAGATGTTGTCTAGCAGCTCATCTTAGTGAGTTCAAATTTAAAGAGTAATCCATCTACCTGACTTCATGGGCAGCCTGGAACTGTCCTCAGTGTATCTGTATCTGTATTAAATAGAACACAAATGGAGTCAACCTTTTTAAGAGGATGCATCTCAGGCAAATGTTTCACATAGTGCAATCTTTTCAGGCTTCGATCCAAGATCTAAACTGGTAGAAGTATAAACCACAGGAAAATACTCTGCCAATCTCACTGAGCATAACTAAATATTTACATGAGAAGGATATTTGTCTTTAGGATTCACAAGCTCAGTCTTAAAGCCACTGACAGTGGAATTTGAAATCTGAAGGCCCTTTTGGTCCCTTATGTCACTGTTTACAGACTGCAAACACAGGGTACATATACTGTCTAAACAGAAGATCTGGCACAGATTTGTCATAATGAATGATGTAACCGCAGTGAACTTGTGTGAAAAGTTTTTTCCCCATGACACAAAATGTGTTCATCAAGAAAGTTTGGACCTACCAGTCAGAATGCTCTCTCTCCACCCATAATGAGTGATGCTCACACATCTAATGGCCAGAGTGATAAACACATTTACAAATGCTGCAGTTGTTATGTGACATCAAATATTTTTAAAAAGAAGTATATTGGACCAGCAGTGCAGTTTATTGTGTAACAGCTTTGGAATTTGTCAGCCAGCTGGTAACCCAGTGGAGCCAGGGTTTGTTTTCATACTATGCTATTGTCATCACTAGTCTTAGGAATACATTTTTTCATGAATTTAACCTGATGATTAACACACACACGGTCTCTATATTTTAATGACTCTTGTTGACTTAGCTTTGGCTTATTATAATGTATCAAAAGAAAAAAGGTGAAACGTGTCTCATTCTGAGTATGATTATAGATTTATTCAAGACCATTCTGTGCACCTGTGACAGCAATGCACTGCAACACACTGGTTGATAATGCACTGTGAGAGTTCTATTTTAAAAGCTAAATGCTGCTGAGCCAAAACAAATGAAACCACAGAGAAGTGGTGACTTCCTCCATGGAAAACAGCAGTGGTAGCAAACAGGACATGCCACCCCTGACCCACTTCTAAATAACTTTGGCTCACCCCGTGAAATAGCGTGGAATTGCAAAAGTGTGAAACTGGCAAAAGAGGCAAAAGAACAACATGGAACCAAAGAAACAGCTGAAACCCCAATGTTCTTGTGGAAGAACGTGCTGATAAGCAATGCTTAACAGCAACAAGACTGAAAATACAAACAGCCAAGAGACACTTACCCACCAGACAAGCCAAGCCAAGCAAGTTTAGATAAACTACAGTCACCTTCCAACTCCTGTCTCCAAGCTGCAAAAAAGAATTGTAGTCATCACCAGAAAAGGGCCCAGGGTCATTATTCTGAACACAGCAGGGGCAGGACTACTGCAAGGAAAAACTTGTACCCATTTGGATATGTGTAAGTATGCCTTCATGCATTGTAGGCCTGAGACAAGGCTGCACATTGCACAAGATTAAGAAGGCTACTGACCCACCTTCATTGTCTCTTTGCCAACAGCAATTAACTGGATGCCTGCAAGTGACCTCAGATACTATCCAGAGCTCAGATCTGGTTCAGTGATCAAAGCAAGAACAGCTTCACAATGGTAAAACCACAGTTTATTGTGCTTTGATTCCAGTGCCAATCTGTAAAATGCTATGGGTTATGTGCAGAAAGCACACACTGTAATTCTGCCAAGTCTTACGAGCCACAGGTGAGAGGAAACATGCATGTGCAAAAAAAAAGAAAAAAAAAACACACACACCCTTTATCACTCATTTTTCCTATCTTGTGCCTCCAAACACCAACCACACACACACACACAACCAGTTGTGCCCACTTGTGTTAGTGCAAATACCCTTTAACAAACTGCATCTGGCACAGACTGAGGTTGTTGTGGAGCGGTGGAGAGTGAATAGGGTGGGGGGCATTTCCTGAGGAAGCAGCTGGCTGCCTGCAGGGCCACAGAACTGCAGGATTATAGGGATGCAAAGGTGAGTGTGGCTCAGACCACATTGTACAGAGGGTGGCAGAACAGGGGTGGTATCATTTTAAAATGCCCCAGAGCTCGTAGAACGGCTGTGGTGCAGTAGTTGGAGCACTGTGGTACAGATTACCTCCCAGAGAGGGAACACAACTGTGTCCTTGAGGTTAGCATGGCCTCATTTTTAGCCTACATTTCACCATGTTCAGCTGTATGGAATGTTATGTGGAAGGACCAGCTTCCAAATTATTTATTTAACAGAAAGATTTTAGCATTTTTAATCTAATTTATTTATTATAATTTATTAATCCCTGTGGGGAAATTTCTTACTGCATATTTTATTAAAATGTGATACTATTATTATGCTGCAGAAGCCCTACAAATGTTTTTGACAAACTGTTATTTCGGAGACTTTATTGTTCTCCTTGTTGTTGTTGAATTTGGAGAACTAAAGTGTTTTTCCTTTCATTTTAGCGCTAGACAAGCAGGACGAGATCATCCCTGAGCACCCGAACAACAGCAATATCCGGTGCAGTCCACAGGACAAGCGATGCATACAGAAGACCCTAGCCCGACACCCTCTGAAATCCACAAATCAGAGAAGCAACACTGCCAGGGAGGAGACCAAGGCGGCCCTGGTGAGAGAAACAATCTTTTCAGACTTTCCCAGCACATGCCTCAGCCCCAGCAGGTGTTTTACATTATGGTTTTATAGAGCCAAAGCTACAAGCGGAACATTCAGGATATAAATTGTACAAAAATTAGTCATTTCCATCCTGGAACATTTAATTGAGGTCTTGTGAAATACAGGTGCACACTGGTATCAACATGCAACCTGTAGTTTTAACACCAGCAAGAGCAGCATCACAACCTGCCCATTAATCAGTAACAGGCTGGTTTTTACCACATTTTAGTGTGTTCCTTTAACACATTTCTGTATCACATGAATGCACAGCAATGCAATGTAGAATTTATCTGGGCCTCCCACCCAGATGGACTGATCTTTTTTTTATATTCATGTGTTGATGTGTGAGAATGCAGCTGGACTTACTGTGCAAACTGATTTTTAAAAATCTGCCAGAGTGATACAGTCACATGCAATCATCAGCCAGCTTGTAAATTAAATGTAGCCAACTCTCAGTACTATTTGTAGATACTCTGCATTTGTATGTGCATCCATAACAGGGTGTTGACAATTCTTAGTCAGATTAGAACCTATGTGAGGCATTTATCTGTCATCTCACAGCAGACATACTGTACTTCTACAACACACTGAATAAATTATCATCAAATAACACAAGATAGTTCAATAAATCCAAAAACCTTTCCAGCTTTCCCAGTTTTGTTTTGTATTTTACATTAATACTGTACTTTTTATTTTTTAGAAATGTATTTAAATAGTCATTACTTCTCATAAGTAACTGAAATGATAATACCTTATGGTGGCTGATTTTTAAATTTTATTTAAACTTACTCATTTTTTTCTTGTGCATTTTGAAAGTAAGATAATAACTGGACATGCACAGCCGTTTTCTCACACCACTGCAAAACTCTGGCGATGTGTATAAACATCAAATCAAAACTGATTTCTCCTACAGGCTCCATGTCGAGCTGAGCTGCAGAGAGCATTGGACAGACTGGCATCAAATACCCGCACACATGATGATCTCTTCTCAATCCCCATACCCAACTGTGACAAGAACGGAGATTTCCATGCTAAACAGGTCTGTGATTTCAAGCCCACAGTTATTATGAGCTTTTACTGAACAGAGCACTATTTGGCCATGTGTACTGGTGAACTGTGAATCTCCTGTATTAAGTCAATACAAATAATAATGCCTATCTTCAGTCTTCAAATGATTCCTTTCAAGCAACATTAGCAATCTGGGCCAAAACACAAAACATGCCTGTGGCCAGTGAAATAGTATCTGACAGGTTCAAGATCACGACGAAAGTGCCTCCATGCACATTGTTGTTCTAATGCCAAGACCTTTTCCTAAGATCACATGAAAAGGAATTTACTTTTAAAAGTCCAGAGTTGAATTGTGTGTGAAAAGCGGTTTCTCCTAAACTGTTGAACAATAATCACTTCATTGCTGTGACAGATCCACTTAGCTTTTGGATGCAGTCAGTTTTTTCTATTTGTTGTTCCGCCTTTGTGCGATTGGGCAACTAAGGAGATAAGAAAGAAAGAGAATAGGAGAAAGTAAGGCTGTTCTGAGCTGTACATGCATTCAAAGCAGCAGACACAGAGTGGGTGATTAAAAAAAGAGCTCTGCTAAGGCACCAGTCATTAAGTGTCTGAGGTACGCTGATTGTGTAACATGGTATCTCTGTCTGCCCAGATTCACAGGCATCTGTTTACCCTTTAACTAAAACTGCACTGTGATAAAAAAAAAAAAAAAACCTACTGGGAAGTAAATAAGTAAGACACAGGTCATGAGGGACAACTGGGAATCATTTCATGGCAAGGTTGCTGGGAGATCGTTAACTGGTCTTGGAGGCTTCTGAAATCAAAAATTACTAAAAAAGTACAAAACCACTCAGTACACTGTATTACAGGACATGCTGAAAGCCCATACAAAGAATCTTAGATTTGCATCAAAATAATTAAACTATCTCTTGTCACAGTTAGTCTAAGGCGACTTTAAGTGCCAGCTTGAAGTACGACTCTGACATGATAAAGTATGATTCTATATGTGGGAATGTAAACAACATTCTCTTAATGTGGCGCGGTAATCAAATATTATGACACCTGACAAACTCCAGTCATTTGACCATTTATGCAGGATAAAACCAAGAGCTGCAAAACAATGAAAACATCTTTAAAAACTTTACGATGACATCAGACCTGACGTTTAGCGAGCTGTGGCCTAGCCAGCAGAACACTGACTACACTCTCAAGATAATCAAACTGGTCTGGAACCTCTTACCCAGGACTCCATTTTATATAAACCTACATTTAATGATTCTTGGAAGCAGTACAAGACAACACTAACATATTTTCACTTTATGAAATATGGTGACCATGTTAGCAAACACATAGCAACATGAGCATTCATTTGGAGCCAATATTCAGTCTCTTCACTTTATTCTTCATTAATCCTGAGGGAAATGTTTGGCTCTTTATTGTGGCTGCAAAGGGCTCCACTATGAGTGTGCCTTCAGGTGCTGGACATGTAGAGAGGATTTTCAGGGCGTTCTGTTGAAAAACGTTACCTCTTGCTGTTGAAAACATGCTGAAAATGAACCACAACAGTAAAGATGTAAGCAATGCAACTGTTTAAAAAATACTTAGGTGAAAAAACACAGTCGTCTCCATTTGTTTCTATGGAGGACTGTGTTTAGGGTGAAGTCCTTTCCTCATGTAGTTCTACTAATAAGCACCAGTGGATTTCAGCTGGTCCTGCACCCACACTGCCTGTCCAGCCAGTGGTGGAACATATATTTACTCCACTACATTAATTTATAACTTAATAGTTACTTTTTAGAACCAGATTAATACAAAACATACAGTATGGTTATAAGATTTTATAGATCCATGGTGGGAAATTCACAAGCTACCCAGCAGTAATTCAAATGAAATGCTTATAAGCTAGCTCCCCTTTACCAGCTGCAACATTAATGCATCGGTAGATATAAACTAATAATGTGATATTAATGTTGAAAGTGCCATTCTGCATCATGAGAACTTTTAGTACTTTGAGTATGTTTTGATGCTAATACTTTTCTTCTTTTACTTAAGTAACATTTTGAATACAGGACTTTTACGTGGAACAGAGTATTTTTACACTGTTGTAGTGCTACTTTTACTTGAGTAAATGGTCTGAGTACTTCTTCCACCACTGGCCAGCACCAGCACTGCAGGGGCCTTCGGCAAAACTATTGCAGCCCCTTGCAATGCATAATTGGTGCTAAGGTAAAGTAGGTTACGTTAGCAGCATGGCTAACCAAAAAAAGGAAACTGGCAGGCTGGAAATGTGAATGAAGCCACTCATGTCAACTCATCACAACATGGCTGTTTCATACAGCACATGCCTACACAGCAGGGAGCTGGGTTTTACTGCCCTCAGTCTGAATGCCTGCTAAACCTCTGCAGAGCTGAGGGGACCTGTAGAGTTGAGTGATAATTCTGTGTGAGTTCATGAGTGACCCCATTTACATTACATTTAATCCATTGATCCATTTTTCATATTAATATTGGGTAGAGCAGCTTTAATATTTGCTACTTTAGTTAAAGATGCTGTTAAGCAACAAAAATATTTTATTCTCCATTATTCCCACAGTGTCATCCTGCACGTGACGGCCAGCGAGGAAAGTGTTGGTGTGTGGATCAGAAGACGGGCATGAGACTGCCAGGGCCGCTGGAGTTGCGAGGGGATCTGGACTGCCACCAGTTAATGACTGCCACACTGAGGGACTGAGGAGTGAGGACAGGCAGTGTGGGTGCAGGACCAGCTGAAATCCACTGGTGCTTATTAGTAGAACTACATGAGGAAAGGACTTCACCCTAAAGCCTCACTTCACATGAGGCCAACGGTACTTGAGCTTGCGCAACAAAAAAAAACCCATTGAATTGAGTTCTTTTGCTATTTTGTTTCTGTGTGTGAGAGTATGTGATCTCTGAGTCTTTAGAGCACTTGCTGTGTATTGTTTCTGCTATGTGAACTGACAATAGTCTTTAGACATATGCGCTTTAGGTGGCAGAAAACAAAAAACCTTCCACGGATACCAGTTGTAGCTGTGATCTTTGTGACTGAGCAAAATGTGTTGTTTTCTCTAGTCCAACTTCAGTGTAATATTCTTGAAAAGTGACAAGAAAATGCATCAACCCCACCAGGTAATCAAAGCTGATGTAAAACAGTAACATTAGCATTTGTTTTATTCTTTCTGGAGCACTAGTTCAGCTGGAATTCCACTTGGAATCACCAGGACAATCCAGAACGAGTCCCCACTGCAAACTAGTTTTTCACACAGTATGCATAATTCATTGTAACATATGGTTCTTATTTTACTGTCCTAAATGTGGCAAACCACACCCATCTGGAAAGCAGGTTAAAACAAAGCCAAGTTCAGTGACAACACAAAAGTAGCAATAAAAGATCAGAACAATAGGTACAATGAAAAAGAACCAGGACTAACAAATGAATGCAACAACTCATTGGCTTGAGTTACCAAATGATAAGCTGTAGCTTTTCACAACATGGACACCAAAGTGAAAACTGACATTTGCTTAAAAAACGGTATCTCTGAAAACCCACAGTGGATTTTCTTCATCCCCCTGTGGTTAACTCTTCTTCCCCCTTCCTTTACTGACGAGCTCTCTCTGACACTGTGTTACGCACAGACTAGCAGCCTCGCTGAGCTAGAAGCTCTGCACATTGCTGATAGGATAATCTCATTTCTCTAGCTGGTGCTAAGATGCCAGTAGGACTCTCGTGTTTGTATGAATATGCTTCAATATAAAGGATTTCTCTCCATACAGACTGTTTGGCAGATGTTTGGTGGTGCTATTTAGAGATCGTGCCAAAATACAAAACAAACAAACAAAAAAAAGGCTTCTGCACTTTTTGGGCATTATTTAGGATTGGAATGGAAGACTGGGTTTTGAGGATCGCTTAAACATAAATGCGTGACCGTCAGCATAGCTACTAACAAAAGCTTCCCGTGTGTGTTTTCACGTTATTGTAAAAAATATGAAAGGCACATCCCAGGTTAGCTTTGCACTATTCCTGCACCCGACTGGCTGAATGTTTCATCAGCCAGTGCTGTGAACTGCAGGCATGATGCATTTTAAATATATAAGCAAGCAGAGTGTAATAACTTTCAATGATTAAGCTCCTGGCAGCCCTGCAACTTCTCACCAACATGAAGCTTTGAATGGAAGACTCTTGTGTAGCATTAAATATAGCATAATGTTCGTGTGGACACCGGAATCATTTCTGTTAATCTGGCAATGCTAGTTATCTGTTTTCATACAGTGTCCTAGGGCATCACACTAATACTTAAAGTGTATTACCAATGCAAGTGACATAGCTACTCATTCAGTATTTTATATACCATAGACGAGGCTGGTGATATTCTTACAGCAATCTGATTGTACTGATGCAGTGCATTACTAGAAGCAGGTTTAAGCTAACACTGGTGTTTGTCATCACCAGATATGGACACTTTAGTTATTCTCGCCTCAAGAAATTATTCATCTTGTGTGAATGGATGGTTGGTATTGCTGTTGGTGTGTCTCTGGCAGTGTGTGCCAGGGTAGGAATATACTAGAGAGGAGGGACAAAGAGAGTGCAGTAAATCCAGTGATGGAGTCAGATCACACACAACAGCATTATTAATGTCAAGCTAAGAAATCACTGGAGTGCAGTGATACCAGATATGTTGAGAATTAAAAACAAATACATATTTACAGCTATAGTCATACAATGGGTTATTGGCTCTTGTTGTTTTCTGTGTCTCCAGACTCTGATTTTTCCACAACATCTGTTAATCTTCAAATATGGTTATTTGAACATGACGCACTGACGGAAGGTTCATTCTGCTCCACAAAGAAATAAAAAAAAAGTGCCATAAAAACTATTAGTAGTAGTATCTTCATTATAATGGTGATTTTTTTGCACACTACTCTATGTTGAATTTGGTCTAATCTTTCTAAAATACATTTAGTTCATGGATATAAACAGAGAAAAGAAAAATATCAAACTTTAGCGCTTCTCTAATTTGCTTATTGTATGAGGTAATGAAATATAAGTAACAGATAACCTTCAGGTGTGAAAAGTAATACTATTTGTATGCATACAAAGTGTTGCTACAAAACTCACTTTAAAATATAAATTAAAGAACAAAGAAAAACATGAAATTTAATCTGATCACTGAAGCCAGTGGTCACTTTAGAACCTTTGTTGGAAATGGTGTATTGTCACCCAATGGCCAGTTTTATTTGTCTATAGACTAAATGTATACAAATGTATTTCACCAAAACACCAATAGACAGATAGTATGGATGGAGAATCACCGATATAGCTTAAACTGACCAAAGGCCAAATATCAGAAAAATGGTTCAAAGATTATGTCATGTCCAGAGACGTCGAGACTCGTTTAGTAAACTGCATGCACACCATAAAAAAGTTCCACCAAAACCCCATCTCCCCATTCATCAACTAATCACGTGTTACTAAACACATTCAAACATGTCTCTGTTAAATAGTCTTAATCTTGACAGACATAGCAACATGGTTTAGGCTTTGATTTTTAAAGGCCTTCTAACAACATAAACTGTGTATTTACGCTATTACATTGCTCGATCTCTAACTTTGCTGTACTGATCTGTAATTGCATTTCTGGAGAATAGACTGTTCCTGTTTGCCTTTGATATTATCTGTTAATGTGTATAACATATGAAGTAGTATTTGCATGCATACAAATGGACTGGGGTTGGAAACAGCTAAGGTCATGTGTATCTTGTCCACAGCAGGACCATTATACATAAACACTGAGGTGATCAAAGAACTGAAACAGAGTTAATTCTGATCTAATGATCAGTTACATTGTAAAGGGTTACCAAATGAAAATGTACACATTGTAATACAACAATTAAAACACTTCAGAAACTACAACATTGTTGCTGTTATTATTTGTAGCAGCAGTAATATTTATGTACTGCTTATTACAGACATGCTGGTACCGGTAGATGTATTGGCCAGTGAGTTACAAGGGGCCACAGTATTGAAATGAATAATAAATAAATGCCAGAACTTTCTGCTGCATCGCTTTGGTAGTAACATTTATAATACAATAAAAGCTTTCCCAGTTCTGAGTTTTTAAAGGCTCAATTTTTAGGTATTTCAATCTTTTCTGTTCGACTTAAATATTTTAATGTGTTTGGGTTGATGATTCTAGTGTCAAGTTATCTGTCAAAGCTTTCTGTTAAAACTTACAATTCTTTGTTGTCGACATTAAATGTATGATAGACAATAGAACATAAAATGAGCCTGAGCAAAAGATATGCTGGACTAAATGAAGAACAGAAACATGAAAGGGTTAGGCAAGGCTCTAAGCAGATCAGCAGATAAGAAATTAAGCAGCTCTTGTAACAGAACAAAACTCAATCTGCCAACAGAAATAACACAATGAGAAAAACTAGATGGCTTAACTATCAGAGGAAATCTATGAAACCCTGGAAGAGATACTACCTGGCTTGAACAAGAGACTAACACAAAGCACTCACAGTCAGAAACACAACTGGAGGACAACACAGGCAGATTTGGCAAACAGTACTTGGCATAAAACAGATGAAATGTAGACCGCAAAGAGACACCAGAGTCCCTGTGTGATCATGCAGGCATGAGTCTGTACATGAACATAGGAGGTCTGAAACAAGAAACAGTAAAAGACCAGCAGCATAAGTCCGTATATGAGCACAGAAGCTGTGAGAGAAAGGAGTGTCCATCAATCAGTGATCACAGGCAATAAACTCAGCCCAGCAACATGGACAACAACAAAAGAAACGTGAAGTGCGAACCAGGAAAACTAGGCTAAGACACAGGAGTATCACACTTGGCATGCAGAAAACAACCTGGCAGCGAGTGAATGTGAGCAGCTGGCTCTCAGATGGGAGACGTGAGTGTCATCAGAGCAGCCAAAGGCAGAACAAAGGCCAAAGTGTATCAAAATAAAAGCCCAAAACAGGAAAGGCAGTGATATGTGACGATTTGGCTTACAGGTGATTTAAATAGCCTATTCTAATGGCCTTCTCTCACTTAGGTTAAAACACCCTTCTGATGTGTGGTCCTGGGATAGCCCCATTCACTGCAGACGCTGTGAACCTTTCTCACCTTGGATTTCCACATCAGCAAAAGTAACTAAAGCAACCGTAGATAACACATTCAAACAGGAAACAATTAAAGGCTGCAGGTCCATGAGTCATGGACTGAGTTATGTTCCTGCACTTTGCATCTCTCTGTACAATGATCTGAATGTATGAGAATACTTTCCAGTCCCCTTGTTGCTTTACGCAGGGGTGCCCAATCCTGGTCCTCAAGAGCTGCTGCCCTGCTTGTTTTCTGACTGTCCCTGCCCTACCTGCTGATGATTACCTGTATCAGGTGTGTTCAGTCAGTCAGAAGCTGGAAGATACCATCTTAGATGAAAGTGGAGTGAGGAAAGATAAAGTGAATTGGTATCACACAGCAGGTCAGGCAGGGTTAGGTGGAAAACAAGCAGGACAGCGGCCCTCGAAGGCTAGGATTGGCCACCCCTGCTTTACAGGTCTCATTGTTGTGTTCAGGTTAGAGCTAGAAAGCAAAACGTTTAGGTTATATTATAAACTTTTATGAGTTTATGAAACCAACCAAGAGAGCAGGATAATGTGACTAGCAGAAGTTTTGACATGAATGTTGTGTCCTGATATTTTTGACATCAGAATCCTGTGTGCTGTGTTTCCCTGAGCCTGTTATGAATGCTGCTTAGACAGGTTAATGATTATACTCAAGACTTTGGCCCAATGAATCTCTCTGGAATGATACATCATAATAATCCAGCTGGTGCAGCTTCTAAAAATATCCACCACCAAAGTAAACTTTCATGTCTACTTAGTTCCACTGCCTGGGTCTATTTTGGAGAGCTCTATGAGTAAAGAACTGGGTCTGAATCCTCATTACAACAACAGCTTTACGGGTTTTCCTTATAGTGTCGCTGACCCTGTTCTGCCCCTGGGCATCCACAATCCCCCAGCTGTGCCGAGAGGCCCTGTGCTAGTGTCTGTGTTAAGCCTGCACAGTAGCTTACAGTAGGCATGTGACCTCCACCCTATACAGATGTACTCCATCACAGGTGTCCAGTGCCTAAACAAAGTCCTGCCCATGCCTTGTGTGGAATCTGCTCCCGGCCCATCCGTACAGCTTTCTGGTCATTGCTCAGTGAAAGTAAAGAAGATGAAGCACCACACCTAGACATAAAATCACAACAGTGTATGCATACACATTATATACAGGATGCAGGTCAAGCGTGAATAAAATAAGCTCTCAAGTGTGCAGTGTAAACAGAAAGAAATGGGCTCACAGTGAGCACAATCAATTGCCAAATCCAAAGCAAGTGCTATTCAGGTTGAATGGACACAGAAGTAGGCTAAATCCTTCAGGCTTTGGATTGTTATCCTTAGGAACACACTATTACAACTGTTGACCTGGGCGTCTCTCAGACAATGTGAACAAGAATGCTAAGTATTTCTGTTCCGTCAACAAGGGCTAGCAGTGAAGCAACCTTGATTTTCTCCAAAGCTTGGTGGCCTGTGAATAGTTCACTGCAATTTATGGCATGGTGACATAATGAATCATTCCAGCGGTTTTTCATATTATAGCCTGAGATTATTACTTTGTAGAAAACAGTGGGTGCAAACTGGAGAGCTTCTGCCATGACATGACACATTTTTTGACATAAAAGAATATATTTTCAAGTCAGGTTTTTCTTTCTGGACAACTAATGAACAAGCAGTATTATGTTTCTGGCAAATATTATGATGATGCAATCTTCATCTATGTAGGCAAAATATGAGAAACTATTTAGCGGCGCTGCGCTGATGCCTTCTCCTTTTCTCTGAATGGCCGTGGCTGAGAAGAAACATGTTTCTGTTGTCTTATCAATAAGCGAGGGCTGCTGCAGCGACAGTTGAGGGCGATGAGCATCAGGATCGAGGCAAGGCACAGCTGTAACGAGGAGAGGGTGGGGGTGCAATTCTGGAAGATTCTCCAGGAATATACCAGTGGACCCCATTTCATCCGTGTACTGTGGAGACCGTTTTTCTCTGCTAGCTGGTTCCCAGTCAAAGCCACAACGTACACACTGTAGTGGGGACTAGATGTTTTAGGGTGAGTTTTCTGGCCGTCACTTTAGTGTAACATGCTTGTCACCATCATAATCTATGGGGATTTATTGTTCTGAATTGGCTCTGCATGCTAATAATATCTAAGCGATGTCATTTTCTTTTCATCGAGATAGCTAAGCTACGTGACCATTTAGGTAGCCGTCAGTCTGCTGGTTATTTAGACCAACTAACGCCAGTTAAACTGAGCACAGCTAGCCACACATACATCGAACATATATTGTCATTATTGTATAATAAAGCTTAAGTTGTCTTAGGCACTTTAACTATATTTCTAGCTAGCTGGCGTGTGCTGCAGACTAGCCAACCCTAACGTTAGCTAAACCGAAACAACAGATCATTGCAGTTACATTACTGGCTACTAGCTAACATGAAATACGTTACACGCCGAACGTTAGCTTGCTAAGTTACAGCTCCTTTTTGGATCCTGCAGAGATGTACGCTAACGCCAGATACACTGGAAAGCAGTCAGTCAGGTTGTTGCCAGCTACCAGCGCTATTTGGATATTAGTATGTCCAAATAGTCATAGCACAGCTGGCATTTAGCGTTAATGTCACCGTAAATATATCAGCGTTATTATTGATAACGCTGTAACAATCACATTAAGCTAACTTCGACCTAACGTCGATGATAGATAGGCTGCGTTAGCAATCCAGCTGGCATCGACTGGGCACCTCTTTGTTTTATGCTGTGTATGAACCACACTGTCAACACATTTAATCTTATCAGTACGATACAAAATGTTATCCTACTCTAAAATGTGTCTATTACAGAGCCAATGACTGGAATAGACTGATACCAACTGCTCACTTCAGACATGTCAAGTAAGGAACTGGGAGTGTTCGGGCTAGTTGTGATATTCGGCTCTTTGTAGGTTGTATGATTCTGTTAAAATGCATGTTCAAAGTCATCAGCCCTGTTTCCATAAATCCACAATAACACTGCAATATTATAATTGTATTGCAATCATTAACTGTGACAATTCCAGTGACAGGGGTCTTAGTTTGTTATTGATGATTTTATTTCATGTAGAAATCATTTATAGTAGATGTAACAGTGTTGCAGTGTTAGCTGCCTCAGATTAAGTTGGAGAAACAGGAGGACTGGAAGTAATTTGATGTTTCCTTGGGACCTTTTCTTTCACAACAGAGAGACCATCCTATGCTCCTCCCCCTCCCCCTGCCCCTACAACTGTAAGTATTCTTAAAGTGTAGTACCTTATGGTTTCTAGGTGTCCCAGTTAAAGCTGATGTTGCTGTGTGGAGTTTTTGCTTTATCAAAACATTTTTTTTTTCAAGATCAGTTTTATTGTTGAATCCACAAGCCCTGTTAGTGATACAGACGGATGTGCTGGTACACCACTGCTTCTGAAAAGATGATTTCCTTAAAGCCGTGGCATGAATGCAAGTTTTTTTCTTTTGCATTTTCCCAGCTTCTTTTCATTGGTTTCTTTAATTTTTGTCTTGGGCTTGATCCTTTCTCCTTCTTTTATGTCATTTCTCATTCGTGTTTCTGTCTCATTTGTTTCCATCAGCAAATGCCCAACACTACCGGTTTTGTGGGGTACAACCCATACAGCCATCTGGCCTACAACAACTACAGACTGGGAGGGAGCCAAAGCAGCAACAGTCGGGTAACGGTATGAATATTAACAGTGTGACCGAAAATGTCAGGCAGACCCAAATGGAGAGATCACTAGCCAGTTAAGTTTCACACAGCACTGAACAGCAGCTCGCTATGTCAGAGGAAGACACTGCACAAGCATCAGTAGTAGCACTGGACCTTTTCACATGATTGATTATTTTTATTATTTTTGCTTTGTTTAGAGCAAATAAGATTAGATTTTTTTTTCTTTTTTTGCATTTCCATTGTTGAAAGACTACACATTGCAGAATAGGTGCTATGAGAAGCCTAACTCATTCCATTACTCAGACCGGATCTGAAGAACATGTCATTCCAAACTCTCTCTGCTGCGTCCATCACAGTGCAGACTGGCTAAGGGTCCATCTGTGTGTATTCAAATACCACCTGCCTTTCAAAATCTGCATTTCTGACAGCCATGTTAAGTAACCCATGCCATCAGTGTTGCCATGGCATTACAGACTTGCTGCTCGGCATGGCTCTGGCTACTGAGCAGTAATTTAGTCGTTGCATGCAAGCTGTGGCTGGCTGACTCTGATAATAGCATTATGTCTTGCAGTGGGCAAATCTCAGCTTAAGTAGAGATTGCTGTATTTTCTTTTTCTTTTTTCTACAGTCTGTGTGATTCCATTGTATGTTTCTGACTTGTGTATGGCCTCAAACTCTCATTAATTGTTAACTGAAGTGATAAGAAATTACTTGTCTCTTTTTTTTTTTTTGATAGTTTTATGTCAAATTACATAACCATGCACCTGCATGTAGTTTCACAAGCCGTACTCAGCCTGGCTTATGATTGGCTGATCGCTCAACAGCAACCATGCCTTAAGGTGACTTTTTTTTCTTTCTTTACCAGAATTCGTCTGGAATTAATATCCCAAAGCCACCCAAGCCTCCTGACAAGCCACTGATGCCATATATGAGATACAGTCGTAAGGTAAGTGCCCAGCGTGTAATTGCTACCTTTTACATCATCTTGTGCTCTGTTGGAAGACAGGGATGCTTTGCTTCTAAGATATTCTATCAGCTCAGAGTAAGTAAGACATGCATTTTATTTCAGACACTAATAGTTGTTTAGCAAGGTAGGTGTGGAGCAGCCAGGACTTAGCTAGGACAGCTGACATCACAGTGGGATTTATCAACTTGGAGATGGAGCTTAAAGCACACGGCCTCCTCTGGTTTGTGACCTCTCTGCAAAGAGATAACCACTTATAGCCCCTCCAACCCAACCCAACCCCACACCCATGTCTGGTTCTCATCACCAGGTTTGGGATCAAGTAAAAGCCTCCAATCCTGATCTGAAGCTATGGGAAATTGGGAAGATAATCGGTGGCATGTGGAGGGACCTCACTGATGAGGAGAAACAGGATTATTTGAATGACTACGAAGCAGAGAAGGTTGGTTGTTTTGCAAGGGGTGTTTATGGGGGTTTTCTAGTGGGTAACCAGTAGTTGTGTCTCCAACAGTTGTGGGTCCCTCCAGTCATCATTCCTTCCTTTCTAACAGCACTGAGTAGACCTCTTATCTTGTCGTAGTTGATAGACACGAGGGTCCACATGTTGTGCCTGCTTGCCTTCTGTGTTTCCTTGTCATTCCTGTCATCTTCTCCACCATAGATTGAGTATAATGAGAGCATGAAGGCCTATCACAACTCGCCAGCCTACCTGGCCTACGTCAATGCAAAAAGCCGCGCAGAGGCAGCTCTGGAAGAGGAGAGCCGCCAGAGGCAGTCCCGACTGGACAAGGGCGAGCCATACATGAGTATTCAGCCAGCAGAGGATCCCGATGGTAAGGCCACTCGGCTCAGTGCTTTGCTTCAGAGCACTGTGACAGAGCTGTAATTACTGTAGCACGACCACACAGAGTTGCCAGCGTGCACACCCAGCCACTGTTATCTTTTTTCCTCCCCCTACACACTGCTGCAGCCATCTACATTCTTGGTAATGCCACTTTTGCATTACCATTTCTTCTTTTAAGCTGCAAAATGGAACAAAACATGTCTTTGTTTGCCACAGGCATTTACATTTTGTGAGTATTCTTGGCACTGGTTTAGACATAATTGCAAACTTTATATTCTTTTCTCTTTTGTTTTAAAAACTGACGCACACACGCATGTTAGACACACAAGCCAGAAGAAGACGTTTACACCCACCTCAAGGAAAATGATGCTTGTCTGGGGTCTGGCTGGGTTGCAGTAGAAGATAATGATGTATGGGAAAACTGCAGATAAAACCAATTACTATTTAGAAACACCCCAGACCATAAAAATGTCAGAGCCGGTTTCCCAGGGGTTATGTTCAGCAGACTCCACATCCGTCAGTAATTAAATAAGATTTAACTCTCCGGGTGGCTACATATTCAAAGAAAAGTCTGAAAAGAAATTCTTCTCTAAGCTTCTCTCATACAGCTGTTTGTCCTGTTCTGCATCACCATCAGTTCGCAGAGATAAAGTGCCTGCTAGAGACATAAAGTTATAGTGGTGGATCTATAATGCACTGTTTTATAATACATTTGGTGCAAAGTCTGTATGGTAATTTTTTTCAGCAGTTGTAACCACAAATCTAAATTAGCAGTATTTGTTGAAAGTTAGTTTTGGGTGTCATGTAATCAGGGCAACACCAGGCATTCATGAGGTTCTATGGATTCTGTAATGCAAAATAACCTGAAGTGACATTAATCATGCAAGAGCGATAGTTTTGTGCTAAAAGAAAAAGCTGAAAATGATCATCTCACACAGTAGTGAAATTAACTCTGCTGAATTTGTGAACATAAGAGAAGCTTAACTTTCACACACTTCAGAATGTATTACCATCCTTGACTATTTCCTGTTGTGGTGTCAGAGCACCTATGTGAGTACCTTTGAAACTTTCATCATGGCAGAGGAGATTCATTTTTGCTCTTTGGAAAGTTGCAAGGGTGCACACATGGGTGCTCAGCAGCAGCAAGTTGAGGTGATACACACAGAGAACTCTTGTTGCTTCACAGAAATGTAGCAAATTTCTACCACAATAAAGCAAAAAAAGAAGCCTCACCTATATGAGGACTGGCAAAAATTAAAGGGGAGCCAACTGCTAAAAACTATGGGTGAATCCAGTTACATGTTGGCTAGTTGTAGTTTATGCTGTAATAAATTACTTTTTGACAAGTCTTTTCACTGTTTAGTAACAAAAATTTAATTTTGCATTTGTCCAAAGGGCTTGATTTGCACACAGTGCTGTCCTGGATTAGACCTCGAATTCTGCTGAAAGTGAAATTGGCATAAAAATATAAAAATCCTATTTGAATCCATGTGGACTTGATTCTTCATCACTGCAGAGTTTGGAAAAAGTACCTGGGATGATTACTGTCTTAAGGTTCTGTAGATGAACTGTATTTGAATTTTACCTTCCTGCACAATCATTCTGTATTTAAATGTAAAAGTATACAGTTAAGACAAAGGCGAACATTTGTGGACGAATGAAAATTGCAGACTGTATCTTGAAACGTCTGTCCACATACGGTGGGTTATAATTAACCGCTTGTCTCCTTCACCTAAAAATAATGGTCCTGCTTTGCTTAAAGATGTATTTTGACATAATGGCCTATAATTGACTCTAACGATGTATAAATATTGAGCAATATCCTCCTTGTGTTTATAGTGTCTTGATACAGCAGTATCATTTGTGCTGTAGCTTGCTGAAGCCTCTTGTACTCGATTATCTCTTTGCCCCTTGACGGGTATAAAAATATATTTCAGAAGAAAAACCTAACAATTCAGATGTTTTTCATGTCTTTAGATTATGACGATGGGTTTTCCATAAAACATTCAGCTGCTGCTCGTTTCCAACGTAACCACCGACTGATCAGCGAGATTCTCAGTGAGAGCGTAGTTCCAGATGTGCGGTCAGTTGTTACCACGGCTCGCATGCAGGTCCTCAAACGCCAGGTCCAGTCTTTGATGGTCCACCAGGTACGATGTAGTTGTCCTCCTTTAATCTTTATGTAACGGTGGCATATGTCATTGAGAGCTTTTTTAAAAACGGGTTAATAAAGTAATAACCGTGGTGCCTGTGTGTCTTGTGTCACAGAGAAAGTTGGAGGCAGAGTTGCTTCAGATTGAAGACCGCCACCAGGACAAGAAAAGAAAATTCATTGAAGCCACAGAATCATTCACAAATGAGCTCAAAAGGGTATGGCATCTTTTACATCAAGATTGGTCATCACTTACTCGCACGCAAGCTTCATTTTTCAAGTTGAACTCTACAGCGTGTAGCTCTGGTTATGTACCAGTTTATGTCTGCCTTACAGCTACCAGCTGCTGCTAACTCCCTCCACATGTTCTGGAAATTATATAGCTGTCATCATTTACAATCTGTAGCCCCAACAGTAACTGCTGCTCTGAAATGAGATGTAGCACAGTGCAGCTTAATGCACTGTTCACAACAGGTGGCGCCATTTATCCTTTACTGAACCTCTTACAGCATCCGTTTTACTCACTGAAACATACAGTACATGCACTGAAATACTATTGTAGTTAAGAATAGAACTACTGTAAATTGAGGCTTGATCCTAATGGGACGGTGCAGCAATTGTTTTCAGCTCTCTACAGGAAATCCCCTGTTTTCTGTCCCTTGCAGCTGTGCTGTATGAAGGTGGAAGTGGACATGGAGAAGATATCTGCAGAGATCACTGCAGCAGAAGAGGCAGCCCGCAAACGAATGGCAGAACGCGAGAAGGATGCAGGAGAGCGAGGTGCTAGAGAGGCCCCCACCTGCGTCTTAGCAGAAGAAGAAAAGCACATTTGTGCAACACATGGCAACAAGACCCAGCAAAATCCTCTGGGTGAAAGTAGCAACAAGGAAGGCGAGGACACGGAATCCAGCACCACAAATACACCAGGTGATCCACGCTTGCATTTACCTGTAGTTTTGGTATTATGTGGTTCTCTTGTAGGGCTTCATGTTTGTGTTTTTTTTTCTTTCATGTAATCATCATGGAATTTTTTTTGTTTCTTGTACTCAGGGAAACCAAAAGCCCCAGAAGAGCTTGAGGCCCACCCAGGCAGTGAGGAAGGAGCATCAGAGGACAAGGAGAGCGTCCCAGAGGGAGCCATGGAGGAGGGAACCAGTGACAGCAACACCGGCTCAGAGACCGCCTCTGCTCAGACAGAAGATGCTCCGACCAGTGAGCTGTCAGAAGGGCCCAGCAGGGCAAGAGCAGCCCACTGAGCCCAGCACCTGACTGACTGTGAACTATAAGGCTGCCGTTACATCAGCTGGCCTCCGATATCATACTCTGTTAACATACATTGCACAGTATCATCTCAGTTTGTCAAAGCATTTGAAATGTGTTCACCTGGGCTCAGTGTTTAACAAGTCTGAGGCAAAGATGACATTTTAGTTGAATACACCAAGGCCCACAAACATGCGCTGAATAGAATTAAAAGAAAAATACAAAACACTTGAAGCCAGCAAAGCAATGGCCCAAAAATCAAATGGCTGCCAGGTGCACAGCAAAGACCCATGTCTTGGGCCTTGTTGCCATTTGGAAGAACCCACAGACACCCTCTTCAGCACATATTGATGCATAGCTCTGGCACTATGCCTGGCAGGTTGTCACAAATAAGGCCTGGCTGTATGAAAACCGTTGTCACATGAAACAAACATTGTTCAGTGTTATATTGTCTTTTGTATTGTAATGTCATTGTTGCTTTCATTGTTATTTTTGCATGTTGCAATTTTTCTTTTTAAATGAGTTGAGATATTTGTGAAGGGTGGAGCTGGGTGACTCATCTCCTTAGCAGGAGAATATTTGTTTACTCTCTGTATCAGTATCACAGTGACAGTATTGTCTCAGGAGGTTGTAGTCATTAGTAGTAGTTACTTTGTTTATTTATTATCAGCATTTTATGATACTTGTGTATTGGTTGTCCTGGGCCGAGCCCAGTCCGCTCATGAGTGTATCACATGATCATCAGTGCTGTACAATGCTCGACTGCCGGTGTTCTCAAGTTTGCTAGCTATCAATCAAATCAAAAGCAGTACGCTTAGAACATTTTTGTGTTATGGTCAATATTGCAATTTTCATCAGAAAACTTTTAAATGTACCGTAATTGTGTACGCAGTGTAACGAGGTTTGCTTAGACATGGATTTTTCACGTTGTAAAACAGCTTGAAGAGCAGTCATAAACATGCAGTCTTAAAATGAATTTCCTTTTGCATATTTATACCAATAAACTTTTCTACTCTGAACAACTTTGCACTTGTTATTTTTCTAAAATAATTGATATGATGTGACTATTTGTTAGTATAAATAAATGTTTGATCTTTGATAACTTTTTTATAAGTAGTTATAAATGATCCAAATCATGTATGATGTTTATTGGTATGCAGAAACTTGTGTCAAGCATACAGTGTTGCATACAGTGTGTTTGCATAGACCATATTTGTCCTTTGCACAGTACAGGTAAGGGAAGTGGGTAAGATGCAGGAATTGTTCATATTTCCTGTTTTCAATACAGAGCTGCCAATCCTGTACGCTGACAGATTTCAGCATTACTGCATAAAGTAGAGACTTAGGCCGCACAGGAGATTTAACATCTTGTGTGATGTTGAGTATGGTTTCAGCCTGTTAGATGGTGTAATTATCAGATGTCAGTGCTTTAGTTAAACTGTGAATGTTTGAATGCTCCCCCCACTGCAGCTTACCACGTTTTGTACTGTGCATGTGGTTAGCACGGCCTTAAGTGAAAGCTAGAAACCGCAACCGCAGTGATACAGGTGTGCAGCTGCCTGCGCAGAACTTGTGATTCAGTGGGCAAAAGGGCAGTTCCCCAAGGCCTCATCTCTCCAGTACAAGATTCTGTCAAGGTATATGTACAGTGATGTAGTAATACAAAAACAAATACAGTGGAACAACTGGCAGTAAATAAAATAAATGAATAAATGATTAAAAAATATATATTATATAGAAAAGTAAGGTGTCTCACCAACGTTAATATTTTAATAAATACTGTATATTACTTTGGTCATGCAAATAAGACTAAAGTTTTATTTTCTGAAATAATTTTGGCACAAGCGCTGTTGCCTCACAGCGAGAAGGTAGGATATGTTTGAGTTTTTCAGCGTGGCTATTCGTGGAGTGCAGCTTGACACAGCCTGGTTACATAATGGTTTTGTGAACAGACATATACAGTAGATTCAAACCCAACTGTTTAAGTGGTGTGCCCACAGCAACAGACTAGTTGTAGAGATGTGAGCTTTGATGGTGTATCGACAGTGTGACTACACAACAGCTTCTGTGGCCGCCTGCCACCAGGTTCCATACCAGTTTTTTCTCTTTATATTTCTGTACACCCTGCCACCCCATTTGGGACTGAGCGGTATAGAAGATGAATGAATGAATGAATTTTGGTACAATTCATATGAAGCTTGATATCTCAGCCCCTGTTCCTTCTCAGGCAGCCCCTTTCATGGAAACTGAAAACTCATCAAACCTACCAAACTTCACAAATAATACAAAAAATAAGAGAAAAACTTTTCTGTAATTGATTACAAAGTGAGAAAGGTTCAACTGCATTTCCCATTTACTTAGGAAAAGCCATGAAGTATACAGTTAAAAGAAACACAACATGTAACATTATGAACCAGTGTTGTCAGATTAGAGATTACACAGAGACCTGTTTCTGTTATTTTGCCATATTGTTTCTAGTTATGTAGGTGTCTGTGGTTTTCTCTGGTAGCTCATATGATACTTGAAGGCTAAAGGGAAAAGAGGCAGGTTCATGTTCTCTTTTCACTTCAACAAGGGGAAACCACCATCAAACACAAGCATTCAGCTCCTCTGTGTTTAGTGGCTTTACCTGCAGCGTACTACTCTCAGTCAACATGACTTCTGTCAATGGTGAGTACCTTATCACAGTTTAACTAAGATGGTTAAAAGGACATGCCATGTGTGTATGAGTATGTACTGAGGTAAATGAATGCTTGTAAAAAAGGCATTAAAATGACTGTTTATAAAAACACAAACATTAAACCTAGGCATGTTAAAACTGCAACTTTTGCTTGCAGCCTATATGAAATTAAACGGGGAGAGTTACTGTGATGAACAGGAACTAATAACGCTCTTTTATCGACAGCATTTAACAGGTAACATCTGTGTGAACTGATTGACACTGATCTCAGTACGAGAGTTGTTGCAGCTTTTGCATTCACTACTTTGTGGTAACAGAGTAGTGCGGCAACACAGACACGTTTTGTGAGTCTGACCTCATGTGTGCGTAAAGAGCTGTGTTTCTTTAGTCATTTATCAATCATCACTGCTGCGAGGGTAGCACAGCCCTGGCAACCACTATCAGTACTGACAAGAACAAATACAAATATAATTTTTAACAATTAGTTACATTTTTCCTGCAAGAACACGTAAACTGGAGTTTCATCCTGTGGTGGAAGAAGTGCTCAGATCCTTTAACTAAGTAAAAGTAGCAATACCACACTGTAAAAACACTCTAAGTAAAAGTCCTTTAATCATGTTACAACATGATACATGTAAAAGCACAAAAGTATTAGCATCAAAATATACTTGAAATATAAAAAGTAAAAGTAATCGTTATATTAAATGGCTAATCTTTGTATATTATGTTACTGGATTATGATTATTGGTCCATTATTGTATGCGTCACTTTACTGGTATAGTGGAGCTAATGTTAATATGTATACAATTTGAATGACTTTTACACGCTGCTGGGTAGCTTCTGAATTTTTCACCAGAGATCAATAGTCTTTATGCTGTATTTTGTATTATTAATCTGATTCTAAAAAAAAAACAAGTAACTAAAGTTCTCAAATAACTATAGTGGTAAAACTACAATATTTACCTCCAAAATGTAGTGGAATCAAAGTATGAAGTGGCAAAAAATGTGAATACCTAAAGTAAAGTAAAATACCTCAGAATTGTACTTGAGTATATGTATTTACTTTCCACTACTGGTTTATATCACATTCAGACTAGAGGTGCAGTCTGGACTGAACAGTGTCAATGACACTGTTATGATACTTAATAAATAACAACCACTACTAAGAGATTTTTATAAAAATATGAAACAAACTTTTTTTGCGCTAACTAATATTAAGAAACCCCATTTACACTGGCTACACAGAAAGCCTGACACTTCTATCAGTAAACAAGACGTCACCAATACTGTGAAAACAGTCAAAACAGAAAATATGACCAGTGGCCTAACATTTAAAGGGAAATTCCACCGATTACTGGGCTAAAGGTTAGTTAACTTATAATAAGGAGTATTACCCACCCTGTGAAAACAGTGTATTGTCTTATATAGATCTGGACGAACTTTGTTAAGTTCAAGAAATGCTCCTCTAGTTAGTTTGGGCTTTGAAACGACACTTTTATAACAGAAAGTGTGGGTTACAAGTTTCAAAGATGTAGACATGTACCAGGCAGGTACAGTCTGATGAAAAGCTGCTACTGGTTGCATCAACATTTTACGAGTTCGATTACATACTAAGGACTAAAGGTTAGGGTGTTTACCTAAGGTATCCCTTAAACTGCTCTCTAACAGTAGACATGCTGATTGTCCGCACTCCACTGTGCTTATTAAGGATACTGGAAATCATGCTCTTACAATGCACTCCATTTGTTCTTCAGATCTCCAAAGCCCTCTGGTAGCTGTGCTGATATGGCTACTGAATTTTGAGGTAAGAAAAACACACGTGGACAGCACCTCTTGTTACAACTGTAAACAAGATGGTAGTACACTGTTTGTACCCAAAAGAGGTGAAAACAGCAGGTCACCATCCACAGCCCTCTGAGCAGAAGCACCACTGTCTCTTAGAAAATGGTTGGTAAAGGTGTACCAATAAGTAAAATGTGTCAGGGGGCAGGGAAAAGCAGGTAGCACAAGTTTCCTGATTTACATCTGATAGTCGTTTTTTTTTTCATTTACTTGGTGCTCTTATTTTATCATTTCTTCTGTCTATACAGTCTTGCTTGTCTCATTATGAAGAGAATTCCACCACAAACTATGACGACATATACAACGACTCCACTGTGGACTATAGCGACTTTCCTGAGGTGTGTGGGAAAGACTCAAACCGCCAGTTCCGCCTCTGGTTTATGTCTACCTTCTACTCCATCATCTGCATTCTGGGACTGGCAGGGAACCTCCTGGTCATCCTCACCTTCTTCTACTTCAAGCGCCTGAAGACCATGACGGATGTGTACCTGCTCAATCTGTCCTTTGCAGACTTCCTCTTTGCTCTGACGCTCCCCTTCTGGGCGGCCAACTCCATGGCAGAATGGGTGCTGGGCCTGGCAGTGTGCAAATTCATGCACACTATTTACAAGGTCAGCTTCTACAGCAGCATGTTCCTTCTTTGTTTCATCAGCGTGGACCGCTACTTTGCCATCTCCAAAGCTGTCTCTGCACATCGCCACCGCTCACAAGCAGTGTTTTTCAGCAAGGTGTCATCAGCTATCATTTGGGTGATGGCACTGATCTTCTCCATTCCAGAAATGTCATATACCACTATCAATAACAACACCTGCACCCCTTACTCCAGCAACACTGACCAGCTCCGTGTCACCATCCAGACGAGCCAGATTGTTTTGGCTTTTGCCCTCCCACTGCTGGTCATGACCTTTTGTTACAGCAGCATTATCCAGACCCTTTGCCAGGCGCGTAACTTTGAACGAAATAAGGCCATCAAGGTGATTCTGGCTGTGGTAGCTGTCTTCCTGCTCTGCCAGGTGCCTTACAACCTGGTCCTATTTTGGACCACGGTTGTCACAGCAAAAGGGGGGACCAAAGACTGCAACTATGACAACAGACTCCTCTATGCCACTGATGTCACCCAGTCTGTTGCCTTCCTGAGGTGCTGCCTGAACCCCTTTGTCTATGCCTTTATTGGTGTGAAGTTTCGTCATGACCTCCTGAAGCTACTGAAGGACTTTGGTTGCATGAGCCAGGAGAGGTTCTACAGGTATACCTGTGGCAGGAGGAGGAGCTCAGCAGCTACTGACACTGAGACCACCACCACGTTCTCACCTTAAAACTGCTGATGACAGCCCATCCACACCTGCAGACCATGTGGTGCTGCTGGGCATTAGGATAGAAAGCCCGTATCAACAATATATTTTGCATGTACAAGGCAGAAGTTATCATATAAATGATGTTCTTGTGAAGTTTTACTGTTTTTTGTTGTAGTTGTCAAGGTCTGGGTGATCACTTTTTAAAAATTTGATATAGTGTTTGAAGAAATTCAGTGTTAATGAAAAAAAATCTACACCGCTTTAACTTTTATTGCTTTTAGCATTTGAACACCACCCAAGTTAAAGCATTGCGCATTTTGTATTCTTCATTGATTTTGCCATATTTTGAGTATGGCGTTGAAAACTGGGGAAATACATACAGGAGTTCACTTCAACCATTGTACATATTACAGAAGAGAGCGATAAGAGTTGTGCACAAGATGGGGTATAGGGATCACACGTAGAGATACTGCTTGCAGCCAATGATGCATGAAATTTTGTATAATATGATGTCATGGGGTAGGACTGGATAAGTCTGACTTCTTCCTACTCCATTCAAACATGTAATATGTGTAAGCAAACTGATTTTGGATGAGCATTGGTTGGATATGTGTAATTATGTGTGTTGTTGTCATTTGTTCATTTGTTCTGTTCTGCATGTTTGAAAGAATAAAATCAATCAATCAATCATGTACATTAATATGTTTTAATATTTTCTGTATTGTATGCTATTTACATTTATTAAACTTACAGTAGCTGAAAAAAACACCCGGATCAAGACGCGTGATCATGTCACGACTTTGATCACTCACACTTTGCTAAATAGTGGGACATGAAGAACTGTTATTGGTCATAGGCTGTGAAATTTGAGCTTTGGTTGCTACTGTAGGTAAGTAACCAATAAAGCATATACTGTAATCACTATTGGTTAAGGAGGAAAAAATAATTAGAAAGATAAATAATTAAAGTTTAATATGTTAATAACATCATAACACCCAGAAAGGTTGATAAAATAATAATCTCATGGGAAAACTGTCACAGCAGTGAGGGCTTAATGAATCCTGAAGTCATAAATGTAGGCTGCAGCCAGGCTGTGTTGGCCTGACTGTATGTGAAGAATTTTAAAGCAAATCTAATGTTTGACTTAAAGCCAGTGTTATGAACTGTGAGCCAGAAGAATTATGTAATGTCTGTGTTGGTAATCTTACAGTATAAGTTGTATCTGAATTAGATTCAAAGTAAAGACTGCCTTTTAGCAGCATAGAGAAGTGCTGATGTAACTGTGGTTCTGTTATTCTACTGAAGCCTGTTATGATTTATTACCCTAATTAACTGGAATTACTGCCTTATACCGCCATATACCTGAGTATATGTAGTGAAGACTTTGAAGGAATTTAATAAAAGATATCAAGTGCATTTAATTTGAAGAAATTCCCTCAAGGTGTTCCAGAGATACTGAAGACGAAGAAGACGGACATGAGGCCACTCTGACATTGGCCTTTGACATTTTACCACCAAAATCTAATCAGTTCATCCATGAGACCAAATGGATATTTGTGGCAAATTTGGATGAATCCCCTAAAGGCGTTCCTAAGATATCGCTTTCATGAGGATGGGATAGACAGACAGACATACTGTATGTTTCCAGAGGCCAAGTTTCTCAGCCAACTTTTCTGAAACTATTTGACAGAGAAAGGAAGTTCAACATTGCTCAGCAGAGGTGGGCAAGTTATGTTTAGAAGGTCATATGTTAGGTGCCCGTCAGGACAAACATATCTGGGAACATTATTGACTATAGCACTCTGAGAAATTGGCACAGATTTGCCAAGCAGAACAAGGTGGAGAGTGTCCACAGATGTGCTGAGTGTGCTCATAAAATCCTCCCAGTCCTTGACTATGAGTGTGGAAATCACGAGAGGTGTGTTATTTTACAAGTAGTGAGTAAGGCAGGTCTGTTTGCTTCATTAGACAAAAATGCACCAGGGGAATTCTTTATTACCTGATTATAGAGACTCATCGTTTGAGAGTGACAAGTGCTTAGTCCCTCTACATTCCTTTACACAACAAATACCATCATTAATCTAGAAGAGCACTAGAGCTTCAGGTTCAAATGAGCTGAAACACCCAGAACATGCATTACAAAATCATCTGTTGTACTACAGGTGAGAGATCAGAACTATTTTCAATTCAGTAAAATTACAAAATCATCTGTTGTACTACAGGCGAGAGAACAGATGAAATTTAGACTCAAATGCTTTTTTTATGATTTAAGCTCAGAGATAAAATCACTACACTTCAGGAAAGGCTTTGTCAAAGGTGCATGCACATTTATGAGGTGGCAAATAAAACTTAAATGTTCAGTAGCATTAAAAAACGTTACTTGCTTTGTAAAACTGCATCAGCTGTAAAATGAGGGAAATCAGATAAAAAGTGACTGAGTCAGTGAAGGATGACCAGTGACAGTGTAGCACACAGGAATGGTGCAGTCAAACTCCATGTGCCCACTGCAAACACTCTCCTGTCAACATGCACCCACTAGGTGGGTGAAAATGAGTAATAATAGTAATAATAGTGCTGAGTATTATTCAAGCAAGCACATAATTAAAAATATGGAAGAACATTACATGTACAAGTATTTTCTTTAGAGCTGGTTAAGTCATAGCTTTGTGTATTTGTCTGATTTCATCACGACACCCTCCAGCCATAGACTTTACTGTGCTGAGATGACAACATCAGCTGAAGTCATAGGGACAGGTGATCCCTGCTGCTGACAGGCTCTCCGGGAAAAGGGTTGGGCTTCATTAGTAAAGCCATGTAACCCATGAAGAATCAAAGTAAAACGGTGAACAGTGTGAGAGTAAAGCAGAACGACAGCAGGAGGAAATAAGGCAAGTTGATCTTTCTTTACCTTAACTTACGACGACATGCAATAGAATAAGACATAGCTGCAGTAATAACATGCCTGATTAGTCACTGTATCAGCAGCTCTGAACAAATGTATCGACAGTAGCTCATTTTTAGTGGATTGCACTATTTCCTCTTAATTATTAAGGCAGTCTTAAAACTGTTTTAATTTTATTGCAGTATGTGGTAGCATGAACATAAAGCAAATTATGATGCTCCACATGTATGCTGTCATTTCTTAGGACTGAGAAACTTAAAAGTTGCATATGCCAATTGTACTTCATGGCACACACTCTGTTATTAACCAAGGTGAACATTATGAAATGTAGTGGCTTCTTCTCAAAAGTACAAAACCTCTATGAATAATTTCAATTTGCCACAAAACATAAGTAGGGATTTTCATCGATAGACCACTTTCCAAAATGTTATGTTCACCCCCAAAGTTTTGGCTGTTATAGGAAACACTAGTGTAGTCATGGTAACCACCAGTCACTGGGGTGACTCATTGAGCCCCAAGCCTTGTCTGCAACACAAAGAGGGAGTGTGAGGTGGCCACTTCATACATTACACACCCTTCCTCAGCAGCGATTCATGCTGATATCATCACTGAAGTGAGTTACTTACTCAACCGGGGTCATTTTTCATTGAGTGTGTTTAAGCTGGGATTGAGAAATGTGGAAAACCTAATACAGACTTCTATATTCCAGGATGTGTATTGTTTATTTTCTTTATTGACCATATCACCTTTCAAGTGAATTATCGCTCAAGTCCAGTGAATGTCAGTAGACTTGTGCTGCCTTATTTGTAGATCTCTCTAAGGGATTTGACTCAGTGGACCATGAACTGCTACCTAAGCAACTTGGGAATGTTGGTTTCACTCCTAATGCTTTTAAATGGTTCAAATGTTATCTTGAAGATAAAACCCAGTGCGCTTATGCATAGGGCCATAAATCAGATATTCTTGAGATAACCAAAGGTGTTCCCCAGGGTTTCATATTGGGACCTATTGTTTTCTATTTTTATAAATGATTTAGGTAGGAATATTGAACCAAGAATACACCTGTGTGCTGATTCCTCTGACTCACAGGCAGCCAAAGAGCATCAGACTGCATTTCAGTCTTTCCAAATGACTCTACTGAGTTGATGTGATTGATTTTACATGCTCAAAAAACAAAGTTCATGGTCCTCTCAAAAACACATCCACAGTTGCTTGATAACTGTAGCATTCTCACATCTGATGGAAAATCTATTGAAAGAATGTCCTCCTATAAGTTCCTGGGGATGTGGATAGATAATAGGTTTTTATTCAAGGTGCATATTGTTAATCTAGTTAGGAAGCTGAATGTTAAGATTGGCTTTTAATTTAGAAAGAAATCTTGTTTTACTTAAAATGCCAAAAAAAGTCTTGTGGAAACTATTCTTCTACCTGAGACTGATTATGTTATACATACAGGTATATTATAAATGCATACAACCTCCTCTATTTTACAAAGTCTTGCTTCGGTGAACCGTGCATCCTTGTGTTTCATTACAAATGCAAAGTCTCTTACTCACCACTGCATTCTTTAGGCGTTAGTGGGAAGGACATCACTGACCCTTCACAGACAACAACACTGGTATAAAGTGATACTGGCTAACTTCCAGCTTCTCTTTGCACCTTTTTCTGTCTTAGCTCTGCTGGTTACCAGCTGTGCTCTTCATCCAGGTGCTTACTTTTTAATGTACCTTGAATTTTTATGAACTGCGTTTTCCTACTATTGGTCTACTATGGTCATGGAGTAACTTGCAGAAAGATCTAAAGTTGGACACATTCATATCTATTGTAGTATTTAAGGACATCATGAAGAATGTGGTGATGGAGACATGTAGTCCATTGTGTTTATTTTGTGAATGGTTGTTTGTATATTGTTTTGTATTGTTTTTAATATGGTGTAAATGTGTATGGCTGCCATCTTGGCCAGGTCTCCCTTGAAAAAGAGAGATCTCAATAGGACTTCCTGGTAAAATAAAGGTAAAATAAATAAATAAAAATAAAAAAGGTTACATAGGAAAACTTTACAGTGATGAACTAACCTAATTTAAAACAAAACTGTGTGACTGAAGGGAAAAACACTAGTGAAAAACTATTAACATCTGAAAGCTGCTGCAGTGCAAATGCTGGCATTTTGTTGTTTAATCATAAAAATAGTATCTGGAAAAACAAAACTAAATGATGGGATTGGGTCTGTTATTCCAGTGAAGACAGTCTAACTAATCTCTCTCAATTTCTCTCTGCTTGTCCCAGAAGACTGTGAGCTCCCATAACATGATGACCACAGTTAAAGGCATGGCCCACATGATTCCTAATCACGTCCTAAGAGTGGGTCAAACAGTTCGCCTGGACTCGGCACAACATCCCAGTCTCACAAAGCCCTGCAGTAACCATGGTGACCCTGATCTCGACATTTCCTTAGATACTCTAAACCATCTGATCCTAGAACTGGATCCCACATTTGAACCCATTCAGGTCAACAAAAGTCCTACATGCATCAGCCCTCCTGCAGGTGCAGTATGACTGCAAAGCCACTATACACACTGTCTTGTTTCTACACTGCAAACTTTCATTTCTATTTTCTAACTTCTTACTTAACCATATCAACAAGGTCAACAGAGGACAGCTGCCAACTCACAGAGGTGTGACACAGAGCACAGTAAAGCCATAGTAACTCATACCAAACTAACAGTACACACAGCCTGGGGCTCTGGAAATTTGACCTAGCCTTTTGATTTAATCAGTGGGGTAATTGCACCACTACAACAGCTCTGGGATTACAGCCCAGACTGGTACCACACCCTGCACATTATGCTACAGATGAAGAAGAGAAGCTCGCCAAACAGTTTCACATGTGGGTGGTACAGCAGACCCGCTCTCATCAGAAAGTTTGTAGAAAAGTCAACAAAGCATATAAATGGATTTCCTGTTGCTCATTTCTTTGGGGTGGCTGTGTGCTTGTGAAATTGAGTGGTATATGTTGTGGAGACAGGTTTGAAGGAAATCAAGTGACTGATGAGAAAAGAGAAAATTCATGCATTGTGCTGATGAGTCGTCCTTTCCTCTTGTTATCAAACATGATATTTTCCCTTGTAATAATACACACCACAGTAGCTACCTAAGGTCTGACAGATTTGAATATTTCTCTGTAAACATCAGTCATTCTTATGTAAATTTGGTTGCAGACTTTACAGGCTATAATGTTTTTCAGAGGAGATACATGCGCTCAGTGCCCATTAACACAATGAAACAGTGATTTTCAAGTGCACAGGAACAAGTTGAGACTTCTCTAGGTGATCTGGCATTATTGCAATAGCAGAAATGCAGAGTTCAAAGTATTTAGTTTGGAAGGCATGGCCTGAGTTGTGCAAGCAGATACCTGCAGGAAAACTGTGGCTTTAGTGGATGTGTGTTTTATGGAGGCCAAGTGCATTTGACAAAAAACCAAAGCATGAAGTCAAAGAAATCACACAAAATATGCATTATGTAAAATTATGTGCACGTTTCACATGCTTCATGAAATTTCCTGCAATATACTTCTTCAGTGGTTTTGCATTTTGCTCTCCATCCTCAGAATACTCAGATGAAGATGTCTCTCACTGCGTGCTGGTCCCTAGAGGATGTTCTCCCAGGCCCTCACCCACCATGGCCCCATCTCTGTCACCCAGTATACCCATCCCTACACACAGCAGCAGTCTCAGCTGCAGTCCCCACAGCACCCTGGTATTCTCCAGCTCCCCTACATCCTTCCTGCCTCCGCTGCCATGTGGAAGTGCACCCCGACGAAATCGCTCATCAAAGCATGACGCTGCCTTTTTCCAAGGGCCCTTGCGCTTACATTCCAACAGAAACAGTGGTGCCTCTCTCCTCTCCACATCACCAGGCTCAGACACCAGTTACATGATGGGCAGGTAAGACTCAAACACCTGTCACTAGCATACATCTTATATGGAGCAATTTCATAAACTAGCTACAAAGCTCTGTACATATTAGAGGCTGACCAGGGCCACTTCACTAGGTGACTTACTGAACTGATGTTTGTGATTTTGCAGTAAAACAAAAGTTCTATGGCAGTAATACCAGTCATGAACTTGAAGATATAACCACATTCTCAGAGAAAATGTGGGGCGATCTTTCCCTTATGTTTCACTCCAATGTCACAAATTAAAGGATGGAACAAATGTTTCCCCTTTTTTGCTTGGTTCAAGTTCATGTTAAGAGTAGAGGTTGGATCTTAAACATTTCTTTTCCCTCCTTGCATAGCAACCTGTCCTTGACCAGTGAAGATGCTGACTCTCCAGAGTTAATCCTTAATATCCCATCCAACTCCTTCAGTGATGGGTCCAGAGTGAGGACATCAGGAACAGGAACATCTGACCACAGGCACAACCCAGACAGGCCCTCGCTGACAAAGCAAGCACATCTGCAAGAGCTCCACAGCAAAGGAGCACAGAGCTGTCCTGCCTCACTCTCTGGGTCTTTTACTGACATTCCTGTGCTGTTAGTCAATGGTGAACCGCAGCCAGATCTGCACATCCATTCTCCTGGACCAGAAATTCCCCTGGCACAGCCCGTCCTTTGTGCCGACTCAAAACCGCTGTCTCCTCACAGTGAGTCACAGGTGTCATATTAGTTTAGTTTGCTGGCAGCTACTACAGTTTAAACACTATTTGACCCCACTGTCATATTTTTATGACTGTTTAGGTTTCCAAGCCCGTTTTAACGGCAGCCAGCCCTCAATGAAATTCGTCATGGACACCTCAAAATTTTGGTTCCGTCCACATTTTAGCAGAGCAGAAGGTGAGAATCTCAAAACAACACCACAAAGACATAAGGGCTTAAGTCTAGATCTGAATTTATTTCACCTTGGGTGATCTAGCTTTGGTCTTGGGATTTAGGATTCAAAACACACATTTGCAACTGTTACTAAGTGTTTTCTGTGATGTATAATTCATTCTAGCTGAAGCACTGGTAAAGGACAAGGAAGCAGGAACATTTGTGGTGAGAGACAGCACTTCCTACAGAGGCAGTTTCGGTCTGGCCATGAAGTTGGACCAGACGTCCACCAATTTCACTGTTACTACCTACCCAGGTAAACTTTCAGTGCTGTGGTCTGACCTTCTGACTCTTTTTCAGTGACATGCCATTACAAAAAGTCACAGCAGTGTTTGACCAGACACAGGAAAGAGAAGGGCTTGAATGCCACAGCTTGAACATTCAAAGACAAACAGTGTGGCACAGCGCTGCTGTTGACATCAGTCTATGCCTAAAAGGCACAGGGAATCACTTGCCCAATTCTGCTGATGTGAATGGGCAACATCCAGCTATCTGTGGTGAGGCAGGAGACAGAGCTGGTATTTTTCCACCCACATTATACCCTGTGTAAAAACACAAGAAAACCAGCTGTTTACAGCAATTTAAGCAATGGAAGACAAAATGGACCTCACTCACGAAACGTTTTTAGTAATGCAGCATATGAAAGACATGTGAGGAGGCATTTCAGTGTGTGCAGGCTCAGAGTACACTGTCTGTTACATTATTCCTCTGGTGACTTATCCGTCGCCCAAGGGTTTTTAGAGAACACTATTATAATCAAGGGATGTCACAATATATGTTGTGTATATTGTCTCTTTTTGGCTTCCAATTTATTTTCAGGAATAATTTTTAGACTTATTTAAACTTGGTCAAACAAATTTTTTTATAGCTTTAGCCTATAAGACCTTATGAAAGAAATGAATCTAAAATAAGTCAAAGGTTAAAAATTACATTCAAATGAAAGAATATTACTACACAGAGCTTTATATTAAATATGATTTTTAAGAGAGAGCAGAGGTGTGATCATCTTGGTGTTTTTTGTTGTCTAGTACCTTGGAAGCTAATATGGGATCCCATCGTGTGGTGCAGGACAAAAGTAATAAGTCAATCATGAACCATTTGAAACCACCACCAGTGCATTTTATCATGTCACTTTAACATACATTGTACACTCATTTCACTGACTGCATGTAAATCTTGTTTATCCTGACATTTTCCTTTTATTAAAACAGGGGAGAGCGGTACAGATCTTGTCAGACACTTCCTTATTGAATCATCAGCTAAAGGTGTGCGCATCAAAGGCTCTTCTCAGGAACCATACTTTGGTAAGTGCTGCAAATGTCAACAACACTTTCCAGTTTCCCTTCAGAAACACTTCATATTCACTCGCCTACTCAGTATGACGGCAACTCCTGGTCTGGCTGTCTCACTAGATCAGAGTTAGTCATGTCTGGTCTTTTGGGTTGCAAGTGGCAGTGGGTGGATCTTGTTCTTTATTTTAAGATTTGAGTTCCCCGGGTGTGTTCTCACAACCACAGAATCGTTATCAGGGTTTGTGGTGGCTCTCTTTTTGCTTATCAGAGCCTATGGGCTTGAAGAATGAAATGAGTATGCACTGACTTATCTGCTTCCACAGAAGTCGATCTTTAATTTTATTACTGAGATAAAGAGAAATGGAAATCACTTACTATGAAAAATCTCCACAGTGCAAAAAAAGTATACTTAACCAGAATTAATAAGCCTGTTATTTTTAACCTAAAATATTTCTGTCAGTGTGAATTTTTAAACATTTTCCGACCTTTGGTGTTCCAGAATAGGAGGACAGATTTCTCAGTCATACTTGTACATAACCAAAGCTATGATTTGGTGTTACCTTTGCAGGTAGTCTCTCTGCCCTGGTCTACCAACACACTATTTCTGCTTATGCTTTACCCTGCAAATTACGGCTCCACTCTCAAGGTAAGTTCAGACACAAGGTTGCGTGTGTGTGTGTGTATGAGAGGGAGAGAGAGAGAGAGAGAGAGAGAGAGAGAGCACAGAATAATGAGAACCTAAGTCTCTTGCTTGCCTGCACAGATTTGGGCAAAACAGAAGAGAAGGCAAATGACAAGCCAACATCAGAGGACAAGAGTAAAACAGGTGAGAAAATGTGCCTATCCCTACCTGCTTGTATTAACTTAACATACAGTATAACACAAAGTTTAATGCTAAGTTAAGTTTCTTTTCAAATAACACTTCAAAAGTGCCACTTCACTGCAAAGAAAACAAGGAGTATGGAAATGAACTTAAGGGTAAATACATTTCAAAAAAGTAGCCAAAATAATAAACTACATTAAATTATGTTTTTACCTTTTCTTCTTCTGAAGTAGCATGATTCTGCAGTCATATTAATGGCTTGTGCTACAACACTTGCCAGCTGAGGTTGGCTAAGTAACATTGGAAACTTGTTTTTTATCTTTAGGACTCCTTGGAAAGCCATTAAAGATTCCATTTCAGTAACGTTATCTTGAAGCCAATACAATAAGAAACCAGATTAATAACAGGTGTGGTTGTAGGTTTCACTCTCACTATTGTTTCCACTCCAGCCTTGCTAGCTTTCTGGGCCAGTCAAACAATAAAACCCTCCCAGCAGCAGACATTTTGATCCGTTCTGGCAGCAAAAGCACACACAGGTGTAATTAATCATCCTCATTAAAGGATGCGGCATTATATTACATACAGGACCATTAGCTTATTAATGGTACAAATGGTATTAGCCAGGCATAGAAAGTAACTAAGTACATTTGCTCAAGTAGTGTACTTAAAGAAATAGGCAACAATTTTGAGGTATCTGTACTTTACTTGAGTATATTAATTTTGTGCTACTTTATACTTCAGCTTCACTACATTTTAGAGGAAAATATTGTACTTTCTACTCCACTATATTTATTTGAGAATTTTGTAAAGTAATTATAGTAATTGGAATTACTAATAACTTTTCAGAATCAGATTAACTATACAAAATACTCATAAGACTATTGATCCTCAGTGAAAAATTCACAGGCTATTCAGCAGTTGTTCAAATTATAAGTTCTGTTATATATGTGGTCTATATTAATACAACTATGGCATTAATAATGGCACATGGAGAGGGAGCTACGCTTGAGGTTTTTCACTGGTGGAACTGCAGACATAACAACTTAAGATCAATTCACACCAAAGAACGCCTCAATTGATGTATTGCTCAAACATCAAATAGTTCCTTATTACAATGTAGGGCAAGTACAAATTGGTAAGAAACAAACTTTACCTTTACCAGCTGCAACATTAAATTGATGAACGCAATAATGCATCAATAACACACTGTACATATACAAAAAGCATGGCTCCTAACATAACCCCTCTCCCTAACACTGTAGCGTTATAAAGGCTAGAGCTGTAGAGGGGGTCCATGTTTACTTTTAGTTGTGATACTCAATGAAAAAAATTTGGAGACCAGAAGACCATATAACAGGCTGACTATTACCAGCTATTATGGCTTCTCTGCAAGTTTATACTTGTTTAGCATAGTTTTTTGATAAATTACTCTTACTGGCTTTTTACTCACATAGGTTTTATTGTAACTACAGTAACAAGTGTTGTAAACTTCAGCAATATGTTTAAATTGGCCTCCCTATCTCCACTGCAGCATTTCATCTGCTATCCATTCTGTGTGGAAGAACTGAGCACCGCTCTCATTCAAGTGTTTTTATACTGTGGTATATTTACATTTATTTAAGCCAAGAATCTGAGTACTTCTTCCACCACCTTAAGTACATATTGATAGTTCAGTTTATTGTCCTTTTGGAATTTTTTTATTAGCACTTGTTAGTACTTGTCAGGGAGCAGAACGGCCCCAGTCTATTATATTTTATTACTACATTATCATTAATGATGCATTACTCTGTATCTACTCTATATTTTATCTGTGTTGCTGGTTAAGGTGACACTATAATACTGTTATGCAATTTACTGAAGGTAATGGCTTCATTTTTTTTTATTATTTATTGATTTGATTGTTTATTTTGTGTGTAAAATCTGCAAAGCTATTAATAAACACACAGTAGCTGCCAAATAAATGTAGTAGAGCCAAAGTGCAAAATTTATCTCTGAAATATGATAAACTACAAAGTAAACTGAAAAGACTAAAGTACAGTAGAAGTACCTAAAATGGTATTTAAGTACAGTACTTGAGTAAATGTACTTAGTTACTTTTCACCACAACATGTAATAAATAGTCTGTTTTCCCACTGTGAATGAAAAGAGGTTTATTCACCCAACAATCCAGGAGTGTGACTTAATAAAATGAATGGTTTGCATGTGAACTATGTGCATTCAGCATCTATTTCTAACCATTTTATCATGTTTGTCTCTAATATAGCTTACAATTTCATCTACCTGAATGCTGTTTCCACTGAGATGCTGACAGGCCCCTGTGCAGTGCACAAGGCGGTGTCCTCAACACTTAAGAAGACCCCAGGTTCCTTCATACCGACTGTAGTCAACCTGAAGGTGTCTTTGAAGGGTGTAACACTCACAGATATCAACAGAAAGTAAGATAAGACACATCCTGTCAACCAGTTACTGAGATGTTACTTAAATCAAGGTGGCTGTGATATGTGGTTTAGGTGTGCAGCATTTTGTGAAGACTGATCATCTCTAACCACCATATTCATTTCTTCGCAGGCTGTTCTTCAGACGACATTACCCTGCTCACATGCTTAGCTACTGTGGTGAAGATCCAGACAACCGACTGTGAGTATACAGAAAAGCAATTCATTTTGAGAATGATATGCATTTTTGTTGGAAACAGTATTAGATAATATTCAGTGTGGTCACAGTCTGTTTCATGTTGCTAACTATAAAAAAAGGCCTCATAAATCATCAAATCATTGACAGTAAACGGTAACAGGACTCTAAACATTAGACACCTAAATTGTATGTGGCTGTCATTAAAAAAATCAATTACAGTTGTTTTATGATGTCAAAATATCTGATATGGAACATGTATACTGGTCACTGTCAGCATTATTTTTGTTAATAGACATGATGAAGGCAAAAGTCATCTTTTTGATCTTAAACTTTCTTACTCTCACAGGTGGGTGAGAGGTTCCAGTTTTGGTGCAAGGTAATGTTTTGACTGCTTTTGATTGCTTATGTACACTTTGCAATGTGCAATATACTGTAATACACTGTAAATTCAGTGTATTGCAATGATGTGTAGGGGTTTCAGGTTCCAATGCAATTCATATCTTTTGTACTTTAATTTGAAAAAAATCTCTTCACGTACTTCAATTCTGTACAAATGAAATTTAATCTATTTTTTTTTGTCCCAACAGGATGTTTGGCTTCGTGGTGAAAGACACAGAATCTGGCATGGAGAACGTGTGTCACGTCTTTGCTGAATATGAACCCTTGCAGCCTTGCAGCAAAGTCATTGAGGTTATTGAGGCTGCCATAGACACACAAGGACTGAGACAGTTTAAACAGCAATAATGCCCTCCTAAGTAACCTGCTCAATGTAGTGGCCATTGTGAGCATTACTCCTGCCTATGGATGAAACGATTACCAGTGTCACGGTTAGCAGTACCTTTTCAAATTTTAAATAGCATTAAACCCAGGGTTGATTACCACACTTTGAAAAGCTCCCCTACTGAAGAGTTAAGTACTATCCAACATCTAACAAAGTTAAAGTAGCTAGAGTTTTTCAGACACAAGCACAGTATGCAACATAGGTTTGTTTGGGTCATTGAAAACATGCTGAATGCAGTAACAGATTGAGTGACAATACTCCAGAGATTTTTCATCCATCTAAAAAGACTAAGTCTAAAATGTGGGCATATTTTTGTTTTTTTACAAGAGTTTTGAGGGAGACTTACTGCAATTGAAGATGGTTACCCTGTCTGCATGTCCTACAGACAGGGTAACAGATCATGCAGACATGATCTGAAGTAATAAGATGCATTTTTCAAATCAGTATGGCTCATTTCAAAGACAGACTGTGGGGGCTCCCTCTGCAGGTACAACCCAGGATGGCAGCAAAGCTGTTTGAGCCAAGAGGTTGTGTACTATAGCACAGAAAGCGTGTGACAAAAACTGAGTTAACATTGGATTTGCATGTCAGAGATGGAGAGCATAAGAAGCATCCAAAGGACTAAAATTTGACACAGACGTGGCTTTCTTCTTGCTAGACACCTAAATAGTTAGCTAACATGCATATGTCAGCATCATTATCAAGCTAATGTTAGCATTAAATTTTGTACCTTTATATTGAATTATTTTGACTGTCATGACAACATATGATGTAGTCTCATAGACAGGGCATGAGGGGCAAGGAGGAGTGGCGGGAGAAGAGGAGTGCATACTGCCTTAGTTTGTTTTGATTCTCACTCACTCTCTAACAATGAAAAGTTAGAGTTGCTGCCGTGTTACCTACTCTTGTAAAAACACTTCACATTGCTCTGCTGCTGTATGCGTCATGTGCCTATTGGCCCACTGTACACAATAACACATTACATAGTGTAGTCACCCAACCAACATATTTTGTTCATTTAAAACCCAACAGTCATTGGTTGAAACTAGGCTGAAAAAGTGTTCCAGCAGGAGAAACATTATAATCCTCTGTATTTCTGTAAAATTTGGGGCTCCTTACAATTACTTTTCACTGTCTTATTAAGACTCATTTGCTTTTATGTATGCAAATGCAACTGAGAAAACTGAATATAAAAGTGTGAGTGAGAGAGACAATAATAATGTCACCAATAAAAACAATAGTAATAATAATAATTAATAATACATTTGCTATTCCTCTCATATACCTATACCTCTCATGACCACATTTTGATATGTGTTCTTATGTTTACAGAAGGCTATGGCTATTGCCTATGTTATTTCTTTAATGTTTATGCACACAGTGCATAGTAATGCTAATAATTATTTGTGGTTTTCAAAATAAAACCTTAAATAAATGATTTCCATTAGTGTAAGTACATTTTCAACATATTTTAATAGCGCCGTGATAATAATTATAACTGTCGCTACAATGGTGATGTTAAATTTTCATACTGTTACATCTCTACTCCTGCTAATGCTCAACTCCCTCACATAATCACAGTACTAGCAAAAGCTGAGTGCTCCGTACCCAGACTTGATAAAAGTTATACTAAAAAGACTGTGGCATATATGAAGACATGTGACACAGGATAAGCATCTGTCAAGCAGGAAGACAACTGACATATAACCAACAACATCCAGCATGATTGAAATTAAATGTCATGCTACTACTGTTAAAACAATATATAACCAACCATGGTATAGAAGTTTGCCTTATTTCTTAATGAATGACTGAGGTGTACATTTCTACTTGCTGATACTATAAAATATACTGATGGGAAATTTCACTGGTCTGTTTATAGGCTCAAAGAAAAGCAACTGAAATACTGCTATTTCCTTCCATTTTAAAGCAGAAATACTGCATACATCCTATTTGTATAGTTTTGAATATATTTATTATCCTGCACTTTAAATTATTTCTTCTCCATATATTCATAGAAGTGTATTTTTTCAAATTGTTGCAGTTAAGAATAAAAAATGTTGAACTGCTGAATGTGCAAGCTTCCAAATGTTTATGTCTGGAAGACAGAGAGGCATGTGAAAGTGTGTGTCTTTTCTTTCCCTCAGCATCAGTCTACTCTGAGCATATAGGAAGACACTTGCTTTGGTACATTTACTCAAGTACTGTACTTAAGTACAGTTTTGAGGTATCTGTACTTTGAGTATTTTCATTTTCTGCTACTTCATAGTTCAACTTCACTATGAAAAATATGGTACTTTGTACTCACTACATTTATTTCATACATTTGGTTACTAGTTACATTTCAGAAAGAGGTTAATAAAAGAAAATACACCATAATCACAAGATTTATTGATCCTTGGTGTAAAAATTACAAGCTACTCAGCAGTAATTTACAGTTTAAGCACATAAGGTAGTTAAAACTAGCTCTACCTTTACTAGAATGTGATGTACACAAGAATACATCAATAATTATAATCAAATAGTATGATGTACATAAATGTAAACTGTGCTAGTTTAAATAATGAGTACGTTTAGTACTTTAAGTACATTTTCTGCTAATACCTTTGTACTTTTACTTAAGCAACATTTTGAATACAGGACTTTGACTTGTAACAGTGTTTTTACACTGCGGTATTGCTACTTTTACTTAAGTAAACTATCTGAATACTTCTTCCACCACTGATAATGATAAACATGACAGAAAACACAGAAGTCTGCACATACATTTTTAATTTTAAATTATATATTAGATAAAAGGCTTAATGCTTCATTGTGAAGTTACTGAGCTCCCACAATTAACAGTGTGCTTCATGAGGCAAAGCAGGATCAAACACAAGGCTGCATAGGTAATATCTCTGAATATTGTGAGGCACCCAAATGCAATACACAACAGTCCATTTCTTTCTTAGAGTATTTTTAATATCTTTGGTGCCAACTCAAAGCTTAGCATAAAAACACTTTGTCTAAGGTGTAACAGATAACAGTACTGTATGTGTTACACAACCCGAATAGAGCGTTGAAGATACACTGCAGTGTTAACTATTTACAAATACCGCCCTCTTCAGGTTAAGAAGAGGAATCTAAATTCTCTGAGACGCAAGTGTTAAGGTTCTCACTGCTATTAAGATCACAGTGAGCATTTTTTTTAGTTGAGTAGCAAGGTTTTTCTTCCCCACACAGGGAATGAACTGCAAAAATAAAAGACACTCAAAGCATTCTGGACAACTTTCGGTGCTGATGTTTGACTAAGGGCTCTCTATGTCTGTGGTACAAGCCTTTAGGGACTGTACACAAATTACTGTGGTGGGGAGGGGGATCAACAATACAGCCATCTACAGTTGTTATTAATATTTTCATTAGACCCTTACCTCGACTCAAAAAAACTAAAACAACCTTTGCTCAGGGTCTCCAGTAATACACAATTCAGTTGATATAATTAATTTTGCCATTATATCTAGAAGTGCACAAAGGCCTTAAGATTATGTGTTCTACTTTAAACTTTAATTTGCCATTGGAATAACAATTTTTACCTAGCCACCAAATCACACATTAAAAACTGTCATGTTTATATACAATTACAATTATTTTTTATTTTTAAACCAAGAGTTCTCGTTGTCACTTTATATGGCGCATTTACATTATTATTATTATTATTATTATTATTATTATGTACTTTACTTTACTGTACAGCTACTTTCATTTAAGATGCAGAATAAAGTGAATGTGGGAGCTGCTACTGAATGGTGAGAAATGAAGTGCCCTCTAGAGAGACAATGTTTAATCACACACAAAAAAAATTCTCCCTCCACTCCAACCATAATAATTTCTGTACAGTCCCTTACAAAGAGTCTGTTAAAGAAAATCCATTCTCAGGTTGTAGCACTCCAAACCTCCGTTTATCTCCATCTACCAGTGCACTCAGCCTCCTGTACCAAGTGTTAATTACTGTAGAAGTAAATGCTCTAGTTAAGCAGTCATTTTACTGATATCATCTCTTTTGTCCAGTGACCTTATACTGAAATAATGACAGTGTTAAGCAACATTTTTTTCATCTAGAATGATGACAGAGAAATATATTTAGCTATCATATGAAATTATTACCCTCTGTTATTATCCTCTGTAATGTAATGAATGTACATCTGATTCATTTGAAATGTTTTCTGTCACTATAAAAATGGCCCCTTTAGATCAGCACAAAAGCCTGATGGGTGATGCTTATCCTGCCTACATCAATATTTGATGTGAGAAATCTCATGTTCAAACATCATTTGGTTCAATAAATGCTAATTCATATTAAGCATGATAATAATGGATGGCAATATCTTAGATGTCAATGACAGAGATGCTGTTCCCATAACTTCAGCATCACCTGTATTACCACAGCTGTATGACAGCGCTGACTCTGGCCGACCACTGACAGAGTTACTGTGTGATACTTGGGATGCTGCGAGATCTCTTCATGATGAGACGCACCTCAACATCAGGGAGGCTGTCCTGTTTAGTCTGGGCACAGCCTTCATCTGCTGCGGCCATGTGCAGGTCGAAGCGCAGCGACACTGACTTCTTCCGCAGCTTGGGATTCCCTCTGAAGAAGGAGCCCTCCCACTGCTTGATCACCTTGTCAATGTTCTCCGTCCTGACAAAACGGGTTGTAAAACACCGCAGTAAAAGGTGATGACAGTACATGTTAAATGTCACAACATTATGCATTTTCAGATTTTTTTGACAATGAAAGTACATTTAAAAAACTGTTGGCCTTTATGTTGTAGGTCTGGTCTATTAGTGTTCAGGAACATACATATCATATAGTTTGTTTACATGATTAGTTTTTTTTTATGTGAGTGTCAGCTGGCAGAAGTCTTTCTTTTTTGTAGTTTTATTGTGCCTTGTTATCCCATTTGGAACTGGCTGTGTTAATGGCATGGCACTACAGTAAATAATTCATTTAGTTGTTATTCACATATGTTGGTGAGGCAGGCTGATAAATTCACTGCGCAATGACACCAGGGGGCAGAAAGGGAGAGCACGTTGCTGCTGAAATGTCAGAGCCGGAAGTGCCTTAGATATGGCCTTGAATTAGAGTTAGGGCACACTGATTTATAGAACATGCACATAATTTGTGATAATACACAACCAGTCACAGAAAAGAACTGCTAAGGATCAGAATCTGGGATCTTATGCTCTTTGAACAGAATAACTGGAAACCTGCCTCTGCAGCAGAGAAAACCACTGAACAACAGATAATCAGAATAAGAAGAGAAGGTTTGAGCATTAAGATTTGTTGAGTTTTAAGCAGAAGTTGAAAAGGTATACAATATCAAAACAAACATTTGCCATGTGAGAATTAGCCTTGGTTTAATTACTGTAGGAGATTATGGTGTTAAGCAAAGCACCCACTAAAGTACATATGGCAAGCTTGTTAACAAACAGTGGCTCATTTACACTAACAGCGGTTACAGAGAAACACTGACATTTATTTGGAATCATGTTCCTGGACAGCTAACCAATAAGTTAACCAAGTCTAATATTAACTCTCCTGATACTGTAGCTCTGCTTTGGTCCTCACCAACCTCTTTAGCAGCTCAGTGCTCCACTACAGTATGTTCACTAGGTAGTCACTAGCTGTAAGAGCTTTTTTACTGAAAACAAGCTGGCTGCTGCTTCTGGAAACAAGGTTAATTAGGGCGGTTAGAGCAAAGCCAATCAGTGCAGCTGCTGGCTGTAAAACCAAAACATTGAGCTGAAAGATGCTAAAACAGAGCTTAGGTGATCACATGTGACCCTTTTCATTATACATCTAGTATTAATGCTAAAATATCACTTTGTACATCTTTAATGAATAATAGTCAGTCACGGGTGTAGGTTTGGTCTCAACATTGGTAGACCCCCCCCCCATTAGAGCCACACCCAAAGCACTAGAGATGCACCTGTTCCCTCCTCAGCCTGCTCTGCTTCTCTTGCCTGATGCTGTTTCCTACATAATACATTTCATGGGGTTTCTAGCTTATCCATCATGAAGAGTGATGTTGGTGAGCCCTACTGTCCAACAGTGACATTACTGAATATTTTTCCAAATAAAAATTCTGCTAAATGATATAAAAGTGTATTTTTTCCAGACTAAGTGTTGTAGTGCAGTCAGCAGATGACCATTAATGTGTAAAGTGATTTCCACAAATTCCACAAAATTATTTTTCCTTAACTAATGGTTGAAGTATAACCAGCAGACAACCAATGAGGTGTGAGGTAATTCTGGCAACACTACACTGGGTAAGAGTTAAGTAATTGAATATTTTTGCAGTAGGCCTGTCTCTTTTCAGTGTTGCACTTTATAGACAGTCCCTGCACACTTGTGTTTCAGTGGCTGCACATTGAGAGGAGGACGGCTCATTTTGAGAAAAATGAGCATGTAGCTTGTTTACATTACTGTGAAACAAAAGAGATGTCATTTCTATTTTAGTAATGTTTCGCTATTGATCCGGAAACTTTGCATCTGTGAGTATCTCTATAACATACCACTGTCAGCAAATGGAACATGAGCTTTAGATCGACCCCCTCCCTTTTACTCAGTCAGGCACATCGGAATGATCTACAGTGACTTCACTCCATAGATACTGTGCACGGTGTGTAGGTTTGCTCAAATATTGGTAGGGACATTTCCCTACTGTCCATATGCAAAACTATGCCCTTGTAGTCAGTCCACACTGACGAAGAACACTGCAGTACTGTTCATCATACCCAAATTAACACTGGCAGAGTTAATTTAAACAATTTGAGTGTGTAAGTATTGACTCTTTTGTAGTTAAAATTCAACACTAACCAATGTTTTTTTCAGTACTGTTGTACAGTGTTAGACATCAACTATCTCACTGGGTCATTTTTAACTATGCAAGTGTTACCTTCATATAAGACTATAAGGTGTAAATAGAGCTCTTTTGAATTACTAGAAAGAACTTAAATAAAGACATGTTCTGCTTAAAACATTTATTTTCAAAGGTGCCTCACATAAATATTTAAGTAACTTTTTAAAATGTGTAGCAATATGGAACAGTGTATGCTTTCTCTTGCTGTCAGAGTATTGCTTATCAAAAGGTCTAAAATACATAAGCTGGTCAATGCAGTTCACTGTCATGATTCGGTTCCGCTGCTTCCCGTCCGGCTTTTATTTTGACATTACTTCCTGTTTTTGTTTCACCTTAGTTTCGGTCTTTTTACGTTCCTAATCACTCACATTAGATTCACCTGCTCCCGATTAGTTTGCACCTGTTTGCACCACGTTATAAGCAGCCTTCACCCATTAATCCTGGCCAGATTAAAATGGAAGGAAATAGGTCAAAAGGTCTAAAATACATCAGCTGGTCAATGCAGTTCACAGCACGTTCAGTATTGGCTTCTCTATACAGTATGCGAATGGGAATTCAGCACTTGCAGACTTAAGCATTGTTTGGAAGCATGAAAGGATTCCTAACTGAAGTATTTTAATGTCGTCAGTCAGAGAAAGAATCATAAAGGACCATTCAGAAAATAACTTCAGTAGGCTGTCAAGTGACTTGTACTACCTGCTGATCACAGACAAAACACGTAGCCAGAGGTCTAATTAAACAATAGCTAGGACAAAACATGCCCTCCCATATGCACATGCCATGCCTAATATGACATGACATAATTATCTTTGTTTCTAAAAATACTATTTAGAAAACAACTGGTGTCCTTACATGACACAACACATATTTACAACAAAATTATGAGGCAGAGCTGGTTAAGACATAAATGCATGCCCCTGGGCTGGCAGAGTGACTGTGCACGTACAGGTATGTAGTATTCTGTGTACATTATATATGTTGCCTGGTAACACCCGGAGCATGAGCAAAGAATTCCACCTATGTTTTGTCCAACAACAACTGGTACCACGCCCTGAGGATTCCACTCCAGGCGGGTATCTCCACATCAAACACAAGCCGGGAAGGAAGAAAAATTTCCACACATAAATAACTCATGGGAACCTGTTCAACCAACCAAATGTTTTATGCCTCATAACTTCTTTGACATTTAAAAGTAATTCCTTTGATTGTCCGCAGGACCAGACATCGCCAGGGTGGGGGAATGACATTGTCATTAGGAATTTAAAAGCCAATAATAAGCTCACCAAGTCAAGACCAATATCACTTAGAGGTGTTAAGGCTTCAGGAGATTAAACAAACAAGAAACGACTGCTTGTTTTTACACTTAAAATATATTTATCTGGTCAATGTACAGTGCACACTAAAGTGATGCTGTTAGTCCCGGCTGCTAGAAATTGCACACATAGTGAACCAGAGGTGCTGACTACAGGTCAGTGAGGGCCAAAAAGATCAATACTTACTCAATAGTCCCGTGACCCTCCGCACTCTCTTGCACCACATTGCCCTGAAGGATCTCTTGAGTCTTCACAGTTGAGATTGGCAAGTCTTTAGTTTGCTCTGGTTCTATGAGAAGACAATAATGACAAATCACAAAAAATATTACTGTATTAAAAGAGTGTGTGTCTTACCTGTGAGTATCACAAGGCTTCGCTGTCTATGGAGTATGCTTTTCTTTAGCCCGTTCTCTGCTGGGAGGAGTGATGGGATTTCAGGCAAAGGCTCAGACTTGGGCTCGTCCGGAGTAACAGTGGGGTCACTAAAACCATTCTCCAGCCCATTTTCCTTCGGCTCTGCCATGGAAGACCTCCAGGATCGTAGGCCCATTGGCTGCCAATTATGACCCATATACCTGGAGGCAGGAGGGCAACATTTAGAGTAATAACAGCCAAAATGAATGTGGCGTGTATCTACAGTATGCATGCCTGCTTGTGTGTCTTGACTAAAGTGACAGCTTGACATTCTGGAAAATACACTTATTGGCTTTTTTGCAGAGAGTTAGACAAGAGGACTGATGCAGCTCTCAAATCTTTATGCTAAATGTATATCTATGGATAGGAGAGTTGTGTTAGCATAAAAGCTGGGAGTAGGGGTGGTTGACAGCTAGCTTAGTTCTGTACAAAAGTTTGGAAAATCCTCCTACCAGCAACTCTAAAGTTCACTAATTATCAGATTATATCCTTAATATATAGCTATGCATTTAAGGTGTACCAAAACACAAAGTCTAAAAATGGCAAACTGTAAAACCTGTTTCCCACAGTTTCCAACCTTTTACTAAACTAAGCTAATTGCCTGTTGGCCTATTGGGTGTAGTTTCATATTTAATGGACACATTAGGATTATACCCATTTTCTTATCTAAGTCTGGGCAATAAAACAAATTAAGATATTTCTCAAAATGATGAAGTATTTCATTTAAGGTATTCGGTATTCAGAGGAACAGCCAAACAATGAGCTCTAAGGGGGCAGGTCAGAGCACGTATTCTCACTAAATGCATGGGTGTACTTGATGTCTCAACCTGCAATGAGAGTAACGTGCGCTTTCAATTTCTATACACATAAAATCGACATAATCCATAACAGAATAGTAGGCTTTGAACAGACTGAAAAGCCAAGACATGAAATGATCTGTTTGACAGCTATATAAAGGAAGAAAAACAAGAAAATCATTTATTTACTTTGTTAAGTGCTGAGGAAGAAATACATGTGTCAGTGATGTTTGTGTAAATGAAGTGTTCTGGGAAAAGCTTTTCAACTAAAAAGTACAACTTATCTTCCTGGGTCAATGTGCAACCACAACATTCAAACGGATTCCTTCCTAGAACCTGTAATGTTCCTATCCCTGTCTCTGTCTCTAGCCCTCACCTGCCCTCCTCACGCTCCAGCAGATGTCGGTAAGTGGAGATTTCCCGTTCCAGCCTCATCTTGGTGTTGAAGAGCTGGCTGTGGCGCTGGCGCTGCGTGGCTAGCCCACTCCTCACCTGCTCAAGCTCACTCTCCAGTCTGGCGATCACCTGGGAAAGGTCTTGTAGCTGGCTGGAGTACAGCTGCTGTGTCTGCTGCAGGGAGCTCTCCAGGCCTTTCTCCTGGACAGCGGAATGCAGGGCACTATTAGGATTATGACTGGACAGTGGTTAACAGTGTAGTAACTGGGGTGTTGGCCATGGTGATAAGTGATGATGTATGTTTACCAAGCCATGCAGGGTCTCAATCTCCACCTGAAGGGAGTGCCACTGCTTCCTGGCCTCGACAAGCTCAGCCCGGGCCTCCCTCAGAGCAGCGCCGCTGAGGTTCACCTGTGCCCATGCTGCCTCCTCCTGGGTGAGGTGAGGGGGATCAAATATTAAAAGATAGAGAAGAAGGAGCACCACCACCACCACCATAGACAAAAACACATGCACACTCTCAGTCTTTTCAATAGTAAACACAACTACACAACCTTCAGCCCTGTGATATTACTGCATTAATAAAATAACAATGCACAGTATGTGCAGTAGCTGATAGTTAATTTTTGGAATTAATAATATTAGATAAATAGGGCAGGCCTGATGAGAAGCATAGTATACAGCCGCCTCACACACACACACACACACCTCTTGGCTAAAAGTTTTCCTATTCGCACTCAGTCAGAGGAGAAGCAGCCACAAGTGGTGTACTTAGGAGTGTGAGTGCCAGTTTTAGTAAACAGTGAGCAGAGGTGACACCCAGGCCTGTGTGTACACACAGTTGTACAAGCTGTGTTGACACACTGTATATCTGCTGGGTGTTTCATACTCTCTGTCCTTGTCCTTCTTCAAATGCAGTGAAGTGGCAAAGCTGTCAGTTATGACAATATTTTTTACAGTAAAAACTGAAGAACTCACTCATGTTATTTAAGTTATTTTCTGTTGAATTTATTAATCCAGTGATTGTCATTTTGTTTTTCACAGCTTTAATGTTCTTTAATCAACAGAGGAATTGTGAGATAAGCAAATGTGTACAGAGATTATCCCATAACAGTGCTTCATTACTGATAACACTGACACTCATTACTAGTTGAGATGAAGTTTGATGTGAAAGGCAAAGGATTTATTATTCCAATGTGCGTTCAAAATTGTATCATGTAAAAATAAAAATATTAGCAGTGAAACGTATCCAAGTATCAAAAGTACTCGCATTTTTGACCACTGGGAGTGCTATGGAGCATTTTTTAAGAAGTGGACCGCTGTTTTGTTTGGAGTGTACACTTGCTTCAGGATGCACAGGCGCAGTGTGACTCACATTCCTGGCACCAGTTTAATGCAGGATAAAAAAAAAAAAGAAAAGAAATTTTGTTTGCATTGCAAATGTTTTATAAGGAAGTATTTGCATTGTTTTATTCATTCCACACATTTGTTAGACTTCTGGATGCATGTTTTTAAGAGAAATGTTGAATGTAAACAAAACTTCTGTTTATAAAAAACTCAGCTAAATCTAAACTAAAAACTAAAATGCATGCATCATGGTTCTGACTTTTCACTGTGGCTTGCACTCCAAGGTTAAGTGGTTAAGAATGCAAGGAGGGGTTTTTTGCATAATAATATGTTAATATACAATATAATGTAATATTCAGCTTGCATGTTTATATACCCAGTATGACACTCCTTTTCAGAAAGACAGTAAAACGTAAATGTCACTCATGAATACTACAGACATCATGTGGGCTTTTGACTGCATAATCCTTATTTAATGAGACAGACAGAGTGGGTCTGATGTAAACAATGGCATCTATAAAACCCACTCTGATTTATCTCTGTGGCAGCTTGCAGCCTTTGCCAAAGACATTTTATTGTCACAGTCAGACCAAAGTCATTGTGCAGTGCCAGGGGAACACAGAGGTATCCAGACTGCACTGTTTCTTATAATAACAAAAACAGCACAGTTAAAATAACAGTAGAAAAGCTCCTATTCTAATTAAAAAAATCTGCTGAAGCCCTGCAAGATAGATGAGAATCCTTAGGTTGTAGTTTGGTTCATAAATCTTTAACAAAGCTGAAGGCTCTTTCACACAGAGTATATACACTGATCATATACTGTAGGTTGTGTAATAGTGTGTAGCACTGAACATAGCAGGATTTAAATTAAGAGAATGATGAAGCAATCCTGCAGGTTCACACACAAACTTGCAAGAAGCCAAATACAGACACACACATACATAAGGAGAAACAGGCATAGTGGGTTCTAAACCTACAGCCTTTGATCACAGTCAGCAAACACCTCTCTAAACATTTAACTTCAGTGACTGCAAAAACAGCAGCTCGTCTTGCTTATGGGACAACCTGAAGTTGGTTTTGAGGGTGTGTCTAGCTGGCAGTGGGCCAGGATGATACAAGAAAGGGACAAAAAAAAGAGGTTAAGTGAGGATGCAGGAGTGGGTGCGTACCTCACTGAGAACTCCTCTGTGTGTTCTGGATGCTGCTGCTGCTCCAGCTCCAGCTCCAGCTCCAGAGCGGCTAGGCCTGACCAAGCTGGGGTGTGGATTTGAGCTGACGCCCAGGCTGAGGTGCCTCTCGCCCAGGCCAGGAAGTCTTCTCTGCTCATACTGCGTTCTGATTCGGTCGAGGAGCCGGGCATGCTCCATCCCTGTGCCATCCTCCTCCTCCCCTCTTGTTGTTGTGGCCGTCGCTAACAGAGCATCGCAGAAGCCGACCTGCTGCAGCTGCAGAGCCCGGGCTGCCTGCAAACAGCCAACCAGAGTGAGCAAGAGGGGGAGGGAAGGGGAGAGAGAGAAAAACCGAGCCAGAAGGAGAAGAGAGTGGAGGATAGACAGAAATACAAGAGAAAAACCAGACATAGAGAGAACTGAGACTGGGCCAAAAATAGTTTGTGAATGAATAGGCAAATGCAAAGGAAAAAAACAAAACACAAGAGAAGTGTGTTTATGTGTGAGTGTACTGAATATTTGCATGCATATGTGTGGCAGGGGGCAGTCCACGCAATGCAGAGCCAAGAGAAAAAGAAAAATCATTTATCGGGGCCTGTGTGTGTGTGTGTATATCCAAGAAAATAGCTATATCCCGAAGTATATATTTAAATCCATCCATCCATCCATTATCTATACCGCTTATTCTGAAGAGGGTTCCGGGGGGCTGGAGCCAATCGAGAGGTGAGGTCCACCCTGGACAGGTCACCAGTCTAACACAGGGTTGAAGCTTAGAGACAAAGAACACACACCCACACTCACTCTTATGGGCAATTTAGAGTCACCAGTCATATTTAAATACAGTAGCCTATATTCCACAGTTGTAACATGTGCCTGGGTCAGGTTCATGTAGCTAATGCTCCTTCTTATTCTCTGTGGTCACATCTACCAAGCTGGCAAAATGGATCCTTACAGTTCTTATAGAGCTGTTATTAATCATTGTCCTTTTATAAGTCAGATAATATCTCATTTTTAAGGCAGCGTACAAAGCACCTATAAGAGTCAAATGATATGCTAGCATCTGTGTGAGACTGTATGTACGCATTGCCATTTAGCTCACAAAACTCTGTTTAGCATGCTAACATGCTTAATTTAACATGTTAACATGCTAACATTTACTAGCCCTGTCCAGCAGCCTTCCAAACCACCTTGATCAACTCATCACTTGCTGTTGGTTAGTTAACCACTTCAACAACAACAACAACAACAACAACAATTATGTCAACGTTGATTAGCTACCAAGTCAATTACTGACTTTTGATTCTAGGTACTCTGGTGGCAACAACACTTTTCTTGTGTTATGGCTAATTCACTGCTAGTTCAGAAATCAAACCACTCAGTATTTAAAATAAAAAAACCCTCACTGCCCTCTAGGTGTCACAGTCATTGTGAACATTTTACACCCTCATGTATGGGCCTAGTTGGCAAAACCCCCCTATCACAGCCCTCAGTTACACTTTTCAGAAAAACGGAGCTCTTCAAACTTGAGCTTCCAGAGTAAAATTTGTTATTTGTGATACTGAGCTATACAGATAATTAACTTGACTTGACTTCAGACTGCTGTTGGATGTCACATTTACATTCCTCTTTCATCCAGGAGGAGACTGTTACCCTTTACAACTCCTGAGCAGAAGACAGAACAGTGCTGTTGTAACAGCAAATGAAAATGAGTCTAACAATGTCCAACCATTCAACCTACAGCCAACTTCACAATAAAGCTTCAGCTCCATCCACCAATAATGCACAAAGGCCTACTCAGAGTGGATTAAGAGGGAGAGTAACAACATCTCCATCGACTCTATAAAGACTGTTTTTTACAGTAAGGGTGGATTCTAAGAATGTTGAACAGTTCTAGAAATTAGAATCAGCGCCACAGAGTTACATTAACTTGTTATCTTCCAAAGTAAGAATTATACTTGTGACAGTTTAAGTTAGCAACGTGTCAAAACATTTATACACATAACAACCTTTTTGACTGCCTCTCTCAAATATTGGGTCACTTTAATAATTAGGTACCTAGTTAAAGTAGCTGAGCTATCTACAACAGAACACAGAATTAGTTTGCAAGGCTGTACGAGTCATTAAAAGTAGTAACTGCTGATAAATCCTGCAGAAAACATTTGGAACTATTTGAAGCTTTGAATCATGTGACCCCTCAATGTTGCAACTCTTCTATCCGAATGGCTCTGGGCCTACCATCTAATCTTCATCTAATGTCCACAACACCAGAGTTGATGCTTGACTCATAAACTTTGACTTCCATTTGCTGGGCTATCCAGCCACTAGGTGTTTGCCTGCAAGGGACACTGCAAGAAACAAAAATCCTCCACCAATTTTGGATAGGCTTATTAGTTTATTCTTGTTCATATTAGTAGCTATTCTTGTTTTCTCTGTGAGGAATGTACTCCAGTGATATCATAAAGTAACATTTCATTTTATTGCCTGGACAAATAAGGGTACATTAAGATGAAAGTATTGCAACTGTGAGTAGAGATGGAAAAGTACCATGAGAAAGAAAGACAGGCAGGCAGACAGAGTTTGAAGAGAGAGAGAGAGAAAAGGGAAACAGTGGAAAAATGTCATAACAAGCATTTGCAGTACATTTAGTGACCTCAAACTCCTGGTGCATCTCCTGCAGCTCTGTCATTGAGCAATGAAGGTCTGCCTGCAGTGTCAACTGGCTCTGATCTGCCTCCCTCTTTGACTCCCTAAGCAAAGCCACCTGTTGCTCCAGAAGGCGGGTGTTGCGCTCCTCTGTCTCACACCTACAATGTCAACAGCTGAGGTTATTTTTCATTAACACTACTCATACATTAATCATATAAACACGAGGAGGTAATATGTCATGGTCAAGACATCAGGAAAGAGAAAATATATTTATTCAAATTAACACATCCAAAGTTTTGCCAAATACCCTATTTAACTTGATTTAAAGGAGATTCCAGTAGTAGCTAATGCGTATACCTATGACTCCAGTCCCATCCACAAATAATGCAGGTAATTTCATCTAATGTCCCTCTGTCTGTCCTGCCACCAGGGGCCAGATGCACAAACCTCTGTGAAGATTCATGAATAAAACTGTGTGTACACACACTAAGACAGGAGTGAACTTATGCATTGTTTTTGTCAAATTTATAAAGCAACATGTATGCCTAGTTTTGTTTCATAAATCTCAGTCATTGTAGAATTGGGCACACATGCATGAGCCTCTTTTCCACTCCTGCCTTTGGCTATAAATAAATGGTGACACACTCTTAGTCAATCATCTGCACAGAAAAATGGTGCCTGAACCACAATTTATTAGACATGGCAATGAAAGTATAGTTCAATGAGTGCGACTGGAGAGGTGGAGAAAAGAAAAGATGATTTGTTTGGTGGCCTCAATTCAGGGATCACAAACAGAAGAAAAGCTGTTGACTGGCAGGCTATCAGTACAGTCAGCTGAGAGCAGAGGACTGAGGCTGAAGTAGAAAAGAAGAGGTTGGATGGTAAGCAAGAGGCAGAAAACTGCATATATGTGCACAAAGAGAGCATGAGAGCAACTCCTGCATTATCTACAGAGAATGGATGCATTGCACTTTTGGCCACACAGCTTTACAGGGAATCACAGCTATATCATAACACTC